GCTCAACACCCTAGGGAAAGGCGAGTTGGATGTACAATCATACAGTTACTGGCACCATTGGAACTGGAACTATTTGCTTGCTGCTGAAGATGGGGACAGAGCACTTATTGGAATGTCACAAGTGCTATGATGTTGATAATAAATTCAAAATAAACTCTGCTGAACTCCAGGCATATGACTGATAGAAGGATTGTTTTCCATGTAATTTTTTTTATAAATCAAACCAATAGCTTTAAAATATGCTGAATCACAAGCATTACACAGAAGCATTTATACGTTGAGAAAACAGAAAGGTTTTTCAAAGATGTCTTAGGTTTTGTGTTTTGTATGTACATCCATTTTACAGTCTGACTCATTTCTTTGCAGACTGCTGGTTTTTTTGCTTCACAGGCAGATGCACTCCGATTTCAAAGAAAACATTCCCTAATTAGTTGTCTCTTATGACATGCTTGTTGGGGCACAGTGGTCTATTCTTTTTTTCATCAAAATGGGCCCCAGAATAACAGGGATTTCTGACGTCATTTTTGTACTACATTTTTTATTGTAATTTTTGTACAGCATTTTTTATGTCATTTTTATACTACATTTTTAATGTCATTTTCGTACTACGCACTGCATAAGATGCACTTAAATATGTCATCATCATCATCATCAAGTGCCTTGCCAGCTGGTGTAGACGTTCATGCGTCGCCAGAGATCTCGGCAGTAAAATATGTAAGTCAATACATTTTGCAGTAATATAATTTGTCTAGATAAATAATACACATATTCTTATAGTAATGTATTTTATCTTGATAATACTTAATCTTGATAAATTAATATACTTTAAAATAACTGCTGCTTTCATCAATGATGAACTGTGTTGGACTGTTTGCACTGGCACTTCTAATGGCTGCCTTATACTTTCAATACGTGTGTATGCTATTGGATTTGCTAAGACTGCAAATTGTTTCAATTTTTTAGCAAAGGATAGTGATGGACATTCTGTGTGGTTTTGACTGACTTTGGAACAGAGAAATTTTCTATGAAGTTGGAATTGTAATTACCGGATTGCCTAGAACATAAGTCTTCATGATGTACCAAGCAGGTATGGTAACTTCTGGGCTCCCACGGAGTTCTCAATGCCTAACTCTTTCAGTCCTAAAGGATTGGGCAGGATGTGATTTCCACCACATCTAACCGTGACACCCCGAAAAGTAGCAAAACCAATACTTCAAGATGGGTGCCAATTTCTCATAAAAGTCACTTTTCCAACTTGTCTTTAGTGACCTGTTAATGAGACGTATAGTTAATGCTATTAGCTGAGTCCACAGCTGTGAAAAAGTTTATGCGGCCCAGACGCGAATATATTAGCTAAAAGCAGTATGTAGGGTTTCCTTCAAACCACAATTTGTTTATATATTTTGTTGCTGTAGTTGTTTTTTTTTTTTTAATAGTCTTCTGTTAAACCAAGTCGAACTTAAATTTTCCCATAAGCCTCAGTGGTTACGGAATTATAGCATGAGTCGGCTGCTACACATAGTTTCAGGCCCGAGGTAATGTATTTCCATTTAATGCTTCACTATTTTCATGTTTACTGATTACTCCATGTGAGGTGCGATGAACTGAACTCAAAAATATTTATATATATATATATATAATCTTTACATATTTCGAGATCCCCCAACAAAATATAGAAAAATAACATTTAAAAAATGCTAAACTTAGTGACCTGTGTATAATTATTATTATTATTTTATAATTATTTTAATTTTATAGAATTCCTACGGGGGTTAAGACCCATTTTTTAAGCCTCACTAGGGTGAAAGTGTTAAACTGAAAAACTGACATGTGGCTTGGACAATGTATCACACATCACACCTTGCATCACGCTTGGCTTGAACACTCATCACACACTGCTTGGAGAGCCAACCAAACATGTCTTAGGAAAACCACAAAGTATCACACTTGCCTTGGGAAACCTATTATCTATCACATGTTTCTGAGGAAAATTTCTCACATGGGGCTTAGCAAACCCATCTCACATCAAATGATTTAAGAAACACATCACACTTAGGTTGAGAAACCCATCATAGATCACAGGTTGTTGGGGAAACCCATTAACATACTGCTTGTGAAACCATTCATGCATCATAGAATGGTTGTGAAACCCTTCATAAATCATACAATGGTTGTGAAACCCTTCACGCATCATACAATGGCTGTGAAACCCTTCACGCATCATACAATGGCTGTGAAACCCTTCATGCATCACACAATGGTTGTGAAACCCTTCACACATCATACAATGGATGTGAAAACTTTCACACATCATGCAATGGTTGTGAACTATTCACACATCACACCTTGCCTGGGAAACCCTTCACACATCATACATTGCTTTTGAAACCCTTCACACAACTTCTGTGAAACCCATCAGACATCATTGACTGCTCGGAGGAAATCCTACTATATTACACATTGCTGAAGAAACTCATTACACACTGTAATTTGTTTGAGAATCCCATCACATATCACATACTGCTTGAGAACCCTTCACACATGACACAATGCTTGTGAAGACCTTCACACATCACTCAATGCTTGTGAAAACCTTCACTCATCGCACACTGCTTGAGGCTAAAAAAAATCTAACAGATCTTCAATATTAACTTTGGTGTCTGTCTAGTTCAAAAGTAAACTCTTGGCCAATATGATTCCAGAAATAAGTGCTGCACATGTAATGGTTCTATAACAAATAATGCTCACTAACTGCTAGTAACACCATCAGTGATGGATTAGTTTGTTGGATGTTTATAACTCCAGCAGCAGAAGAATCCAGTCGTCCTCTATGAGTTCTGAGGCCCCTCTATGATGGAGGAGGGGGGGGGGGAGTGGGCGGAACTGCGCCTTAACAAACAGTCATAAAAGGCAACTAATTAAGTTTTGCTGAAATCAGATGTGTGGGGCCAGAAGGCACAGACACGAGAGGTTTGCTGTAAACCACAACACATCATGTCAACAACTTTTTTTTAGAGGTGAATCCAGAAAAAGAAGAATCTAGTGTGTGTGATGTTTATCACAAAGTGCTGGATCTATGGTCCAGCTGAATTGATAGTACCAATTCTGTCATTGGAGTGTTGGCAGTTCTTAACATGTTTGTCAGTTTTGTGATGTTTACCTTGTCTTGTGATGTTCACCTTGTCTTGTGATGTTCACCTTGTCTTGTGATATTAGCCATTTATAGTTATGCTGGTCCTTTTTTGGTGATGTTGGCAAACTTTTGAGATGTGTTGGTTTATCTCTTGTAATGATGGCCAATTCTTATAATGTTGGTTTATCTCCTACGATGTTGACCTTCTCTTGTGATGTTGATCAATTCTTATGACATTGGCCTTCTCTTGTGATGTTAGTTTATCTCTTGTGACACTTTCACAATGTTGGTTTTCTCTTGTGATGATGACTAATTCTTACAATGTTGGTTATCTCTTGTAATGTTTACCAATACTTGTTATGCTGGTCATCTTTTCTGATGTCAGTCACCTCTTGTGATGTCAGTCATCTCTTGTGATGTCAGTCATCTCTTGTGATGTCAGTCATCTCTTGTGATGTCAGTCATCTCTTGTGATGTCAGTCATCTCTTGTGATGTCAGTCATCTCTTGTGATGTCAGCCACCTCTTGTGATGTCAGTCACCTCTTGTGATGTCAGTCACCTCTTGTGATGTCAGTCATCTCTTGTGATGTCAGTCATCTCTTGTGATGTCAGTCACCTCTTGTGATGTCAGTCACCTCTTGTGATGTCAGTCATCTCTTGTGATGTCAGTCATCTCTTGTGATGTCAGTCATCTCTTGTGATGTCAGTCATCTCTTGTGATGTCAGTCATCTCTTGTGATGTCAGTCATCTCTTGTGATGTCAGTCATCTCTTGTGATGTCAGTCATCTCTTGTGATGTCAGTCATCTCTTGTGATGTCAGTCACCTCCTGTGATGTCAGTCATCTCTTGTGATGTCAGTCACCTATTGTGATGTCAGCCACCTCTTGTGATGTCAGTCACCTCTTGTGATGTCAGTCATCTCTTGTGATGTCAGTCATCTCTTGTGATGTCAGTCATCTCTTGTGATGTCAGTCACCTCCTGTGATGTCAGTCATCTCTTGTGATGTCAGTCACCTATTGTGATGTCAGCCACCTCTTGTGATGTCAGTCACCTCTTGTGATGTCAGTCATCTCTTGTGATGTCAGTCATCTCTTGTGATGCCAGTCATCTCTTGTGATGTTGACAGATTTTTGTGATGCCAGTCATCTCTTGTGATGTTGACAGATTCTTGTGATGTCAGTCATCTCTTGTGATGGTAGACATCTCTTACAATGTTCACCAATTCTTATGAAACAAATTCTTGTGAGGCTGACCAGTTTGTATCAAGCTGAGCAGTGCTTGCAATTTTTTTGATGTGATCATTTTTGTGTGATCTGGGCGATCAGTTGTGGCATGGCCAGCTTTTATGATGTTTATACTGAATCCTGGTCACTGTCTACAAAACCCCTCAATACTCCCTGAATTATAGGAGGATATGCAAGACAACCAGGCAAATCAACTCCTAGCCAAAACCCAAACTTCCATATGCTAAAGAGGTATCCTTGTCTATACAATCAGAGTACTCTTAGGCAGTGTATCCACATCACTGCTACGAATGCGAGAACTGAGGGTAAAGACTGCCACAGCCAGACATGAGAGGCACACCAGATGTACGAGAAGTCTTGACGACCAGCACAAAACTAGCACTATTAGCTGTTGGTGTTTATGTTGAGCCAGGAGTCTGAGCACCAATGGACATGACCAGAGTGCTGTGAGTATAGCTCACCTTGTAATGTGTCCTTGTCTTCAGGTAGTAAACAAATCCTCAGAAATGTCTAGGTGTTATCTCCAGGACTTGTGTGACAGTGACCCAATTTGTTGACATAACACTGAACTGACGAAGGTCATGACAGACGGCTCACCATGAAGTGATTCCCTCGTCCATTTATTCTGACAGCAGCTGACACAGGAGACTGTTTCTGTTGTCTGCCAGCCGCATTTCCTCTACCGAGCTCTGAAACAATGGATAAAAGAATGATTTGACACACCGTACATAACTAAAAGTCTGCAAGGAAACTGCCATACATCTTTCAGTCCCAGAAGATCATAGCTGATGCCTGATTGCAACAATAATGATGACAACAAAAGCATGGGCATATTAAATCCACAGGGTCTAAATACACAGCACATTGTGGGTGACTTGTGTTTTTGGTTTGATTTAGTTTCCCTGACTTAACTAACAATGTACAAATATACAAAACATGTTGACTGGTGTACATGAGTAATGTCCAGTATACATGGCGGGTTGTTTGGGGCTGAAAGAGCTAGAGTTTAATGTTGAATTAGGAATTGACATCACAGCGTTTGGGACACCCCCATAAGCATTCTGGTCCCATCTTCAGCAGCAAGCAAAGAGTTAAAATTCCAACGGTATCAGTAGCTGTCTGATTGTATATCCGTCTTGCCTTTATCCTGAGTGTCAAGCATCGGCCAGATCCCCTTGTAACTCCTCAGACTGTAATGATCTATCTGTGCCTTGGCACTGTTAACTTGCTCCCAAAGGGCCCTCACAACATCCAGCTTGTCATACATCAGTTGGTGCAGAACCGGCGAGTCTATCTGCTTGCTCATTTCCAAACACACCGGCATAACCTGGAGAAAATATCCAAAGGATGCTAACTACCCAGGACCTTTATAGTGATGCTTGCCTCTCTACACGGAGAATGCCTGTCTCCACCTTTCTCAACATGCTCTGTGAGTCAGGAAGCCAGAGAAGAATAAGAAACCAACACTGAACTGGTGTCGTCAACCGCTGCATGCTACAGGATTTACGAAGGAGGGGATCCAAGCACTTATGGACTGAATGGTTCTATTTCCCTATTTTATTCACTTTAATATTTTAAGATCAGTGGTTCTCAACCTTCCTCATGCCGCGACCCTTTCTTACAGCTCCTTGTGTTGTGACGACCCTTTCTTACAGCTCCTCGTGTTGTGATGACCCTTTCTTACAGCTCCTCATGTTGTGACAACCCTTTCTTACAGCTCCTCGTGTTGTGACGACCCTTTCATTCAGTTCTTCATGTTGTGACGACCCTTTCATTCAGTTCTTCATGTTGTGACGACCCTTTCATTCAGTTCTTCATGTTGTGACGACCCATTCTTACAGCTCCTCATGTTGTGACGACCCTTTATAACAGCTCCTCATGTTGTGACGACCCTTTATAACAGCTCCTCATGTTGTGTCGACCCTTTCATTCAGTTCTTCATGTTGTGGCAACCCCCAAACATACAACTATTTTTGTTACTACTTCATAACCTCCTTGAATATGTGCTTTCCACTGGTCTTTGGCGACCCCTGTGAAAGGGACCTTCGACCCCAAAAAGGGGTCATGGCCCAAAGGTTGAGAGCCGGTGTCATAGATGGAATCCAGGGCAACACCTCTGGTTTCTTTCATCAACGTTCGCCTCAGGGTTTTGCTTGGACGTCCTCGTTTCCTCTGTCCTTTTATTTCCCATTTCACTGCCTGTTTCATGATTCTCTGTTTGTCTCTTCTCAGAATGTGGCCAGTATAGCGCCATCTTCTCTGTCTCTGTTTTGTTTTAAACTTATAATAAAAATCAACTTACCAGGTAATCATAAATAAGTAAAGTAATGAATTATTTTTAAAAGCATTGGCAAAATGGTTATTTTTGTGCTGGATCCATATTTTGTACAGGTCAAACAATACTCTATCAATGATGTAGTTAGTGGACATCATGTCACCCGCATTTACTTCCCAGGACTCTAACCAGTACCCATATTAGACTGAGTCAATCTGAGAGACAAGGTCCTTGTTTAAAAACCCGACTCAATGTGGATTCGAACCTAAGACTTGCAGGCAGTTAGACAAGTAGCCACTATATTATGGCAGCTCCCACTTACAAGTTCCATTTTGATATTAGTTTGTGACTTACATTTTGTAAGTAAAGGACCCTTTTCCCCACCTTTTAGGCATATTGGGCATATAGGGCTAGACCTATATTTTATAGACCAACGGCACAAGATGGGTGATGTGGTCAGCATCACGCCGGCGGCTTTTACTTCCTAGGACTGTACCCGGTACCCACTCAAGGCTGGGTCGACCTGGACTTACTTTTTGTGTCACACAAAAACTCAAGTACAATAAAAAAGTTTATATTAAAACAAAAACAGAACTAAAATGTTTTGAATCTTAAAAAATTGGTAAAAATAGAAATAAAATGGTTAAAATCACAAATAAAATGAACACACACTCTGGCTTCTGAATGAAGTATGTTGATCTGGGACACAGAATCACTGTTCTTTGTAGATGATGTAGGAATCTGCTTCATACTGGTTGAAACCGGTGATGGAGCACTCTGACCTGGTCTCAGCAGTTGGTTACGGAATAAACCAGTTGCTTTGAGACCTGCATCATCCGAAGGGTCCGGAACTGTGGATGGCAAAGCAGTTATCAGAGGATGATTACAGGAAAGGATAACAATGAGGACAACTGAAATACTGTTATTTCCTTTGAAATCTATTTCACACACTTTACCAAAGAATTAAAGAAAACATAACTCCGATCAAAGGGAGATAATAAATGTACTTATAAGACATGTAAAGAGCTGCTTGCAGTAAAAGAATGCAAAAATTGGAAAACAGAGTTACAATTACAATAAACAAAGACTGTTCCTGCAAAAAGCCTTCATCAGCAAGCAACAACAAGAATCAAAACCCACGATAAAGAAAGAGGTTAAGTACTGTATATTTCATTTGATTCTGCTTGCTTATTTCTGCCCCTGTTCATCTACCATCCAGATTAAAGATGTTTTTTTTTGTTTTTTTTTAACTTAAGGACAGTAAGCACTCATTTAACATCTCAGAGGAGACAAACCGACTGATTGAGCAATCATAATAACAACAACAATCTCCTATTGGACACTGGACACAAGATTACTTTGTAACCATAACGATAAGTATAGGACCCGTTTCCACACCTTAACTCTTTGAGTCCCAAGGAACGCATCACGTGCTCATTTTTTACTACTTGGCGGCCCAAGCAGCGCATGACGTGTGACGGTTTTTAATTTACCACTTATCGGTAATTACACGCGAACCGCTCAATTTAAACTTCCTTTCTGGTTCTCAAGTGTGTAGTGAACACACGTGGAGTAAATTCGTTTGGGTCTGGTGAGTTTTTAACGCTTTAAATCGATATTTGTGTGGTCTACTACGTTACCAAACAATTGTCTGAAAACAATATGTCCAATCAGTCATCGTCTTCACGCCCATCAAAACGATTTACTGCTTTAGAATCATCATATTTGATAAAACAGTGGATCGATTAAAGTAATGTGGAGTTGGATAATGATAGTAGAAACGTGAAATTTCCCCAAACCGTTGACGAGTCAAGTTTTGATGAGGATGTATGCGTAATTTACCTCCTGCTAAGAGGACAAAACTGACTAATTCTGCCATGGCAACACAAGAGAAGCACCTCGTAACGCGACACCAGCTAATCCAAATGTCAGCGCTTCTAGTACTACTATCCATATCATCCTAAACCATAGATATATATCTATGAACAGATTGACATGTTTACAGTGCCTTTACAATTTTTTTCTATGTGAGGAATTCAATTGTTTTTAGAAAATTCACTGTTTGTGCCACTGGAGAATATATTTTGACGTGTTATGGTAGTGTTTTTAAAATTGCTATGGAACAACAACTATTGCACATTTTATTTTAATATTGGATGTGCATACTTGTAAGTGGTGTACCTTCCTTTGTGATGCATTTTGGATATACTATATCAAGAATTTTGGGATCAGCTTCTAGGTAAGTGGAACAAAACTTGTTCATAATTTACTCACCTCTCAAACTAAGTCACTGTTTTCTCTACTAAAAACTAACTAACGGTATAACTGTTTGTTGTAGCAGTATGCTAATATTAATCCTTATCCATTTATGTTTAATTTTATGTATGATATGTGTATGTTGGACATCAGCTGCAGTTGTGTGGCTTGTTTTAAAGTGCTGCATTTGTTAAAAGTCAAAATCATATTACCCCCCTTAGGCCTCTGGTGCAAAACCCACTGGGACTCAAAGAGTTAAGGAGTACTGGGAAAATAGTGTGAGACCTATATTTTATAGACCAATTTGCACTCGGTGAGTGATGTGGTCAACATCCCACTGGCCACCTTTACATCCCAGGACTTCACCTGGTATATATATAAGTCGCCTGGAGAGAATGAAGCACCTGGGTGTAACCAGAGGGTCTGGCCGGCTTACTACACTCAGAGGAAAGGCAAGACGAACATATAACCAGATTGTGACCGGTACCATCAGTACTGGAACTCTGCGCTGGCTGCTGAAGATGAGGATGGAGCACACATGGGGATGCACTGAGTGCTGTGATGTTAATTCTTGACTCAACTCAACTCAACATATAAGGCTTGGTTGACCTGGGCGGCCATGGCACCTGACTGTTGGCATCTTTCTGTCTTTCCAGGTCACCTGACTGTTGGCATCTTTCTGTCTTTCCAGGTCACCTGACTGTTGGCATCTTTCTTTCTTTCCAGGTGATAGTGAGGCATGTGACTCACAGCCCATGGAGATAATAAGGGCCCTGGATGAAGTTCCTCCTCTCCATTGCACAAAGCCTAGACAGTACTGAGGTGATCATATGTTGCCCATGCATCATGATCCTTCCCTAGGCCTGCTTTGTTTACTCCGAAGAAAAGGTAACACTACTCAGAGCAAAGCAGGCTGCAAACACTGCCAGGTCAGAAGAGCAGTGCTCTATCTGCCTATTGGAGCTTCCCTCCTAGACCGGCTGCCAGCCAAAGCTAAGGGCCTGGTCTGCCCTGCCACAAAATAAAGTTCTCAGATAGCATTTCCTCTTCCTAGGATTAGGCTAGTATCCTCCCCAATGCATTCCTCCACCCAAAGCCATTGGCACAATAAGAGTTGTCAGGTTTGGTATACACCGCCTGGCATTCGGTGTTAACAGAAGACAGGTAGTACCAGCTGCTATTATATGGCTACCATTACACAGCAATTCAGCCAAATCTGGCCACATTAACAGAAGACAGGTAGTGTTAGCTACAATTATATGGCTATTATTACATGGTAATTAAGTCAAATCTGGCCATGTTAACAGAAGACAGGTAGTACCAGTTACAATTATATAGTAGCTCAGACATACCTGACCAAGTTAACAGAAGACAGGTAGTACCAGCTACTATTATATGGCTACCATTACACAGCAATTCTGCCAAATCTGGCCACATTAACAGAAGACAGGTAGTGTTAGCTACAATTATATGGCTATTATTGCATGGTAATTAAGTCAAATCTGGCCGTGTTAACAGAAGACAGGTAGTACCAGTTACTATTATACGGTAACTCAGTCAAATCTGACCAAGTTACGAACAGACATTTGTAATCTCTTCAGAAAGCTGCCCAGAGACTCTCATCAACGTTTGTTATAGGGTTTCTTTTAGATGTGCTTCTTTGCTCAATCAATCTTGTTTCCATTTCAGTGTCTATTTTGTGATTCTCTGCTCGTTTCTTCTCAGGATTCGCCGAGTATATTGCCATCTTTTCTATCTGATAACTGTAGTTACCAGTGGTTGCCGTGACATTCCTCTTATATTTTCACCCCTCATGAATTCATCCTATGTTTGATGCTCATCGTTTAGAAATGACTGCCCCCCCCTCCCCCACCCCCCCCCCAAAAAAAAACACCTGTTAATTACTGTCTGTATTCACCACTTTTGCTATGTAGGCATTGGGGGAGGGGAGGGGGGGTCTTTTGAGCTTGAGAAGTTAGGGCAGCATGGCCAGTGCTGTTGCCACAGACTGCGCAGGTTAGGATTTTAGTTTTGCCACTCGGCAGAAACAAATCTTTGACTTTACAGAAGATTAAAACCTGGGTCTCCCAAGTGACAGCCCCACATTCTAAACTGTTTGGCCAGCTGTTCATGAAAAAAAAAATAACTGCCAGGTTCTAAAAGAGTTAACAGTACCTTGCTGTGGCTGTCCTCCGCCTGAGAGGTGCTGAAAGTGTTCAAATCTTCTCTTGGCCTCCATCCTGCTCTGTGACGCAGCATCAGTCTCATCCAGGGGGTGGCAGAGTGGACCCCCATGCTCCTTGGACATGTCGTTAACTGGTGACATAATGAACATTATTAGACCAGGTATCTTTCTGTGGCCGGTAAGAACCCAAACCTTTTGGCAAGAGCTCTTCCCTTTTCAAAAACATTTGTAGTTTAACAGTTTTTAGTTTAACAGCTGACCAAGTTAACACAAGACAGGCACTACCAGCTACTACTATACAGTAACTCGAATCAAATCTGACCAAGTTAACAGAAGACAGATATTACCAGGTACTACTATACAGTAACTCTAATCAAATCTGGCCAAGTTAACAGCAGACAGGTAGTACCAGTTACTACTATACAGTAACTCGAATCAAATCTGGCCAAGTTAACACAAGACAGGCACTACCAGCTACTACTATACAGTAACTCGAATCAAATCTGACCAAGTTAACAGAAGACAGATATTACCAGCTACTACTATACAGTAACTCTAATCAAATCTGACCAAGTTAACAGCAGACAGGTAGTACCAGCTACTACTATACAGTAACTCGAATCAAATCTGAGATAAACCCCAAAAATGAAAGACCTACCTACAGTTAACAGATAACGTAGGTCTGGAAACAGTAACTGACTCCACTAACCTGGGAGGCAATATCTCCTTGGATGGAAATGTTGTGGTTAAAATCAGAGAATTGCAAAGGCAAATTCTGCTTACAACAAACTTCACAGTGTCTGGAGATCAAACATCTACAACATTAAAACTAAACTTAGGATACACAAAACATGAGTTAGGACAGTTCTCCTCTATGGAGCAGAAACTTGGAAAACAGACAAAAACACAGAGAGCGGGCTCAGGGGATCTGAGGGAAAACTTCTTAGAAGATTGTTAGGGTTCACATGGGAAAATAAAATCAGCAATTTTAGATTACAACAAATGACAGACTTAGAAGATGTAAATCTAGAAATAAAAAAAAACGAAGATGGAGGTGAACTGGACACGTCCTCAGAATGAAGAAAGAAAGACAACCGAGACAAGCAATGCAATGGACACCACAAGGACAGTGAGGTCGAGGCAGGCCCAGAGGTACTTGGAGGCAAACCTTTAAGGCTAAGGTGAAGGCTATGCGAAGGTCAAAACTAGAGATAGAGAGGATTGATTGATAAACTAGAGAGAGAGACAAAAAAGTGTACAAGATTCATGATTTGAATAAATCACCACCTATTACTGGCATCATGAAGGTTACTATACTGGACACAGCTGTAGCGCGTAGAGAGGATGGCAGGTAAATGAGAAACAAACACTGCATACACACAGAACCCAATAGGAGAGTACCATGGGGCAGACCAAGGAGTTGAATGTTGAATTAAGAATCGACTTCACAGCACTCGGGATACTCCCACAAGCGCTCCACCCACATCTTCAGCAGCACATGAAGAGTTACAATTCCAATGGCACCAGTAACTGTCTGATTGTATATCCGTCTCGCCTTTCCCTTGAGTGTTGAGCATCGGCCAGATCCCCTGTCAACTCCTTGCAGGGCCATTCTCCTTTTCGCTTGCTGCTGAAGACAGGGACTAAGCACTTATGGGAGTGTCCTGACTGCTGTGATGTCGATTCTTAATTCAACATTCAACATTCCTGTCCATTTCTAAATGTTACCGGTTCAATAAAGTCTGGTCCTCCCGATTTTTCTTTTCCTAGGCCTGTTCCAGTAAACGTAATGTTGGACAATTCATGTGAACTTGACACAGTTAAGCTGGTTGAGTTAACAACTGACATTTATCAATCAGGATATTCCCATAATTACTGTATCTTTTTCTTGTTACATAATCATGCTTTACAGTCTTCCATACCTGCTCGTCTCTTTCTAGGATCTTATTTTGGGCCATGGTTTTCTGGTCCATTTCTGAATTTCATTATAATTTTCTTTTTTCTTGTTTTGTGTTTTCTCTTAAAAGGGCAGGTATCAAATTGAGTTATGCTTTACAGATTTAATTTTGTGTGCAAATCTGTTTTACTCATCTGCTTATTTGTATGCAGACTGTTGGTTCCTCACCTCTCAGGCACATGCGCTCTGACTAATTAGTCACCTTTTGACATGCCCAAAAGGGAGGCAGTGGGTCTATTATTTTTCTCTCCTGAAATGGAGCTTCAAAACCCACAAGAGTAAAATGAGATTTTACAGCCTGTACGCGAACTTCTTCATCTTCTTCACCATTCCGAGCCCTTGAGGTTCACTTCTGCAGATATCACCTACATTCATCTCTCTGGTTAACCTTCTCTTTCCAGTTGGTGACACCAAGTGTTTGCAGGTCGGTCTGGACATTATCTCTCCATCATCTTCTTGGTCTGCCTCGTGGTCTACGACCATTCATCTCCCTTGTGTATACAGTTTTTACGTCTCTGTCATCTGACACTCTCTCAACATGCCCCAGCCATTTCAGTCTATCAGCTCTCATGATGCCAGTGATCAATGGTGATTTAAACAGATTATGAATTTCGTTGTTACTTCTCACTCTCCCTTCCACGCTGTTTACATCTTTGATGGGTCCAGAGATTTGTCGTAACACTCTGTTTTCAAAAACCTGTAATAAGGCTTCATCTCTTTCAGTTGTGCTCCAAGTTTCAAAGCCATATAAAACGACTGGTCTTATCAACGTTTTATATATTTTAATCTAGGTGCTGTATGGGGACGGCTTATCCAATTCCTAGCATTGTTCCAGTAGGTATAGTAAAGCATTTATAGTGAGAATAGCATCACTGATTTTGACTCACAAGCATACCACTGAAGTTAGCTATTCTGCTTATTCATGTTTAACTTTGTTTATTTATTTATTTATTTATTCTTTAATTTCAAACTGCTTACTTGTTTCTAGAATATCCGCAGGCAGCTCGCTGGGGGAATTATCAAAATCTAGGGCCTGCAACTGCGACTGCTGTTGCTGCTGCTGCTTCTCTGACCGTGCACTGCAGATGTTGCGCAGCTCCTGTTTCACATACTGAGAGGTGGAAGGACCCGAACCACTGACTCCCAAGTCACTAGGCATGTTTTTGCTGAAATATAATAACAGGACAGTAAGGTATATAGCATCTTGTTGCAATACAGTTTATTGCAAAGACAGAAAGTTAGTTGTGTATACTTTTACAGGACGTTGAAGAACTGACAAACAGTTTTACCAACAGAGACAAAAAGAAAAATTATAAATTTAATCTCCATACCAAACTTGTACTATCAGTGTCAGACAATTGACATTGACTAAAGAACATGAGGTTTAAATTTTGAGGTTTGAACAACGGACCAACATCATGGCACACGGGTAGTAACCCATAAGTGCTCCGTTCTTCTTCTAAATCAAGTCTGAGTCCGAAGAAGCTCAGCACAGTGCACAGGCTCTGTAGCACCGGTCAGGATCCTGTAAAGAACATGAAAGAAGACTGATCACCTGCAACTCTCTGGTCTCTTTCAAGATGTTTCTAACTTCCTTCATCTTAATTTGCGCCTGGGTCTGAGCTTTCTGTTCGGCTCTTTCCTCTGCTGTGTGATTTGTGTAGGTTGGTAGTTTCCATAGATGCAATTTCTCCACAATGTCTCCGATCTCTATCATGCCTCCTGGTAAGAAATGTCTTCTCTGATTGTGGTTTTTGTGACATCTCCACACTGTTGGAGACATGAGTGGCCCTCATTTCTGGCAACATATGAGCCAGGATTATTGGCACACGTTCTGTTGCAACCGTGTCCATGTTTGTGATTCATACATACAGGAGTTCCCAGGAACTCGTTTTATTCTATCTGTCCACTGTTTACATGGTTAGTCTCTCTTTTGATCTCCCCTTCAACATTGCTCACTGAGGTATGTTGTTTGTTTGTTTTAGTATCCAGAAGCCATGAGTTATTAACCCTTAGGCTCGGTATTATGGATATCGCAACCTTTCGGCCTTGATTCCATTTTAAATACTGTAAATCTGGGAGAAAATGTGGCTTTCCTGCCCACCCCCGGGATTGAACCCGGACCACAAGGAGTTCGTCACCCGGTCTCCGCTCAATCCGGTTTAGCCAACTACGCTAGAGAGCCGGGCCCGGGCCACACTGAGGTATAGTGTTGGTAGCCACGTTTAATGGATAAACCATTTTGTTTGTGGCTTTATAATGAAATCTAGTTCTGCCACTAAAACCCCCCCCCCCCCCCCCTCCTTTCCCAGTTTCTTACTTAACAGTCTTCTGCATATTTTAATAAATCAAATATCACTTACAGAAGACTGTCCCAAATACAACATATCAAGGCAAAACCTTTGGCTAAGAGAAACATCAGTGCAAGTCAAACTTTACAGCTCGCTGAGTGAATTGCAAAAGACAGTGAAGTTTATACTAGAGACAACATTGCATATATAGATAATCTATTTCAAGCGAATAAAAGAAGAAGAAGAAGAAGAACTTACAGAAGAAGGAATAAAAATAGCAGTTTCAAGCGAACAAAAGAAGAAGAAGAAAAATTACCAGAAGAAGGAATAAAAATAGCAGACTGAAAGATAAAACAGCATAATTCAAAATAATGTTTTCCCTTAGTGAATTTAAATACTGCAACACAAACAGTACATTGCACAATGTATTCTCTGATATATTTTGCTGTATCTCATTATGTTTACTAAGTCCCAAGCAATGCATGATGTCTCAATGCCTCTTTTCACTGAATCTAAACAATCACACATTGTGTTCTTTCACTGCTCACATTTGGTCAGAGAACACTATTGAAATCTGGCTTCCTGTGCTGTTACTTCCAGTCACTGTACACTGTGTCTAATACAAGTTATACTCTTATGTTTATTTGTAGTAGCAATTGCATGCCTTGGAAATATATGCAAAAACTCAAGGTATTAATAAAGAGTTACATAAACATATAATGAAACACAAAAATGAATCCTTTTAAACGAAATGTATAATAACAATGTCTAGTTACACTTGACATCTCATTGCTGGAAATTTAACATTAGCCATGTGAATACTACCCAAATTAAAGACATGATCTTTCTGTTTGCACAAAGCAGGATTATTCATTTTAACTGTCAAGGATCCTGCCAGTTGCGGGAGTCGCTGTGGCGTTGGCGGCTAGACGTCCGCCTGCGGATCAGAAGGTCGTGTCCTGATGGAGCCATACTTTTTTTTTTCTCCAAAAATGACCTTGACTCCCAGGTCGACCCAGTCTTGAGTGGGTACCAGGTGCAGCCTTGGGAAGTAAAGGCGACTAGCATGATGCTGACCATATCACCCACTAAGTGCCCTTTGGTCTTTAAAAATATAGGTCTAGCCCTATATTCCTAAAACATCTAAAGGTGTGGGAAAAGGGACCTGATAGTTTTCAGTATGTGGTAAATAATCTGGAAGTTGCAATCCCTACCAAATATGTTAATAGAAAAAGAACTAGTTAAAAAAAAAACATACCTCTCCATTGAGTTGAGTGTCGCATCAAATAACTGCAAATCAAAGTCATGCAAACTGTTTGCTGCTGTCTGGCCCATGCTGCCACCTGGGCTAAAGGCTGACATACCTGGGGGTACAGAGGGGCCTCCCTGGTACGAACCAGGGCCCCCAGACATACCCACAGCTGGCCCTCCGTAGCCAGTAGGCACTTGGACATGGTTGTACTGTGGGCTCACCTATACAAAAGATAGAAATAACCAACTAATTACACAGTTGACAAAAGGTATTAACTCTTTCTGACTTGAGCAGTTATTATTTTAACTCCTTCTATATTTAGCAGTTGTTATTTTAACTCCTATTTTAAGCAGTTAAGCTTAAATGCAATATTTCTGTCTGAAGAAGTCCGTAGAGACACCATATAGCAAAAGTAGTTAAACTAACAATTCTTCTACTTTTCAATCTCAGTGACATAATTGTGGTTGTGCCTGTTTACAGAAAATTGTGATATTTGTGCCTTTCGGCCAACAGTTCAGGCTTTATTGAGCATTTTCTGACAGGGTTAACTTCCCGGAGAAACTAACAATTCAGATACAACGGGTTAATATACAATTCCGCTCTATCTCGTGCGATCAGTTTAACAAGACGGATGAAATTAAGTCCAGCAGCTTTGGTCTCTATCACCAACATTCATCTTAGGGTTTCTTTTGGGCGTCCTCACCTCTTTAATCCTTTTATTTCCTATTTCAGACCTGTTTAGTGATTCTCTGCTGGTTTCTTCTCAGGATAACTATTGATACTAGTGGTTGCCCAGGCATTTCTCCTAATTCTTCACTCCTTTTAAAATCCTCCCATTTTATTTTCATCATTTTCCTCATTTGTTTTCTAATGTTTTTAAATGTCATTCCATGTTTTTAGTGGTTCTCCAGCTGTCTTTTCAAGTTCAAATTGAAAAATTAAATCATAAAAATCAGACGAATGCTAGGAATAAAGCCAGTCTTACAGGTCACAAAAGAACAACAAATGAAGTGGTCTAGACACCTAACAAGAATGCCCTGGTACTAACTGCCACAGCGAGCCACACTAAAACGTTACAACGGGTATAGAGTGAGTGGAAGACCTCGTCAAATATGGAGTGATGGCATTAAGAACAGCCTTACAGAAATGAACATCAATCTTAATAGTGCTCTTGACAGAGCTCATCAACGAACGTTACATGTCCCAACGACACTTCGCTGGGGTAAAAGGAGGAGGAGGAGAAGAAGTATTGAAACAACACTAGAACTGAAAACATGTAATTTGGTTTTAAAACTAAATAATTTAGAGTTCCATATTTTGTTCTGGCTATTAAAAGTTGCTGATACCTTGCCAATGTGAGTCATAATTTATTTCTTTGTATATCTTTCGCTATTAAAATTGCTATCTAAATAAGTCAACTTATCTGTTGCTTTAATTCTATTTGTCTTCAGTGTTACAGAGAAGGTATAAGATTCTGTAGACAAAAATACTGTTGATGTGTGAACAATGGAAGGGCTGAATGCAACAAGTTGTTTGTTCATAAACTTCATTTTACCTGAAGGCTACAGAGTAAACTATGTTTTACCTGAAGGCCTCCTTGTTGAGCCTGTTTGTTTGTACAAAGTAAACTATGTTTTACCTGGAGACCTCCTTGTTGAGCCTGTTTGTTCGTACAAAGTAAACTACGTTTTACCTGCAGGCCTCCATGTTGAGCCTGTTTGTTCGTACAAAGTAAACTATGTTTTACCTGGAGGCCTCCTTGTTGAGCCTGTTTTTTCATACAAAGTAAACTACGTTTTACCTGGAGGCCTCCTTATTGAGCCTGTTTGTTCGCACAAAGTAAACTACATTTTACCTGAAGGCCTCCTTATTGAGCCTGTTTGTTCGTACAAAGTAAACTATGTTTTACCTGGAGGCCTCCTTGTTGAGACTGTCTCATGCCTGCACTGGGGGACATCACAGCTTGTGGGGAGATAAGCAGAGGGTCTGTAGGGCTTGTTCCATATGGGCTGTGTGGGGTTCTAGGTGATCCCATGCCTGGGGAAGCACAATTACATACAAGTTACTCATGCAGTAGAGGAATCACTTGGTGGAGGTAATCATTTAAGTATAAGTTGTTATTAATTTGAAGTATTTGCTAAAGGTAATCACTTGGTAGGGTAATCATTTAGTATACGTTACTATTTAGTCAAAGTAATTTATAGGGGTAATCACCTAGGAGAGGTAAAACTTTAGTAATTACTTCTTCTTCCTCTTCTTAGCGTTCACCTGCTGTAAACTCTGGAAGAAAGTTCTGGTTGTTTATCCCCTTCGCACGTTGATCTTGTTGCAGACCTTGAGTTTTGTGTGCACACCCATTTTACAGATCTGGCTTATTTGTATGCAGACTGTTGGTTCCTAGACTTACAGGCAGATGCACTCTGATTTCAAAAGAACTCCCAATTAGTTGGCTCTTATGACATGCTTGTCAGGGAGGCAGTGGGTCTTCTCTTCTCTTTTTTTTTTCTCCCATAATGAGGTCCTGGGGACAGGCATATCTGAAACTGACAAGTTAGCCGCATATCCGACACTGGACATCCTAAGTCAACTCCAGTATCTGTGGGCTGCTTGTGGTTTTACTAGGCAACAGTTTGCCACTACTTTCTGAATGGTTTGACGCTCACGCCACTCAAAGCAACGTTCCCCCTTGTGAGTTTGAAAAACACAGAAGACACAAGCTGCAGATTGCACAATTTACTGCCTGGCTATTTGTACTGTGGCAGCTGCCCTGGCATAGTGTCTGCACTCGCCTGTGGATCTGAAAGTCGTGGGTTTAGTTCCTGAGTAAAAAAAGTCCTGGGAAGTAAAAGCGGTTGATATGATGTTGACCACATCAGCCAGTGAGTGTCAGCTGGTCTATAAATAAAAGGTCTAGCCCTATTTACCTGAGGGCGTATAAAAGGGTCCTTTACTTTACTTTTCACTTGAATTTTTGCTGTAGAATGTTGAATTAAGAATCAACATTACAGCACTCGGGATACTCCCATAAGCGCTTTGTCCCCTTCTTCAGCAGCAAGCAAAGAGCTACAATTCCGATGGCACCAGTAGCCGTCTGATTATATATCCATCTCATCCTTCCCCTGAGTATTGAGCGTTGGCCATATTCCCTGGTAACTCCTCGCAGCGCCATTATCTTCAGACCATAATGATCTATCTGCGCCTTCACACTGTTCACTCATTCCCAAAGGGCCCTCACAATATTTAGCATGTCATACATCAGTTCACCACCAAGTGGTGCAGAGCCGGCCAGTCTATTGGCCTGCTCATTCCCCAACACACTGGCATGACCTACAGAAAATATCCAAAGGATGCTAACTACCCAGGACTTCTGAAGTGATGCTTGCCACTCTGCACGAAGCATGCCTGTCTTCACCTTTCTCAACATGCTCTGTGAGTCAGTTACAATCATGGCATGTGTGTACAGCTGATTCGCAAGCAAGCCAGAGGAAGGCAGCAGTGACTGCCTCCACCTCCATTCTCAAACTAGACATTGTGATATCATATGCAAGGCTTTGCTGCACTGAGCCCAATTGTCTTCAGCTTGCACCAACCAGGACCTTCCTCTTTTCAGTCTGTTACCCTTAGCTCCACCCAGGGCTTCATGCAGGAAGCGTTTCTTGTTTGCAGCTACTCTGAGATATGACTTTGCCTGCAGAACTTTGAACCTATCTGCAATATTAGACAGTGCAAGTATATATCGCATACATACTATCGGGGTATCTCTGGTACATCCCAGAATTACCCACATGGCTTCATTCCGTATGCATTCATCAGCTGACTCTTTGAACTGTTGCTGTAGTATGTAACTGATGAGACACAGCGGACTAGCCAGGCAACAGAATATGCCATGTATTGTTTGTGTCTTCTTTGTTCAGACTCACACCTATGCCAAAATCAATGTAAAGCCATTTGCCGTCTATTCCTCCGAAGTTGAGCACAGCTGCCAGGGAGGCGAGAAACCAACTGTCTGCATACAAGTAAGCTACATCTGTAAAACAGAGACCTTGAAAAAAAAAAAGAGCATCTCACTTAACTAAGAGCCACTGCTGTTGAGAACCAAGACTTTAGAGAATCTGCTGTCTGCTAGAGTTTTGCCCCGCTGTCTGCTTGAGGTTTACCCCGCTGTCTGCTTGAGGTTTACCCTTCCCTAGTGTCTGCTCAAGGTTTGCCCCCATAATGCAAATCTGAAGTAATTCCTACCCAATTATGTCCCTCACCTGTAGGCATTCTCTGCATCATCCTGGCTTGCTGAAACATTGCCTGTGCTCCCTGCTGCTGCTGCTGTTGTGTTCCCTGTGGTGCAAACAGGCCGGTCATTTGTCCAGCACCACCAACAGTAGCATTCATTCCAGGGTTCCCAAACTGACTACCATCTACAAACTGGAATCGTGTCTGTTGCTGCTGCTGCTGCTGTTGTTGTTGTTGTTGTTGTTGTTGTTGTTGTTGTTGTTGATGCTGCTGCTGTTGCTGTGTGCTTGGACTTGGTAAGGAGTTGCCTGATAGTGATCTCTGTCTGTTCATGTTGGGAGAAAACTGGTTACCCTGGAAACAGATGGTAAATGTTGGTTAGTTTGAAAATGAAGAAAATTGATACTCTGGAAACAGATGGTGAAAACTTGCCACTTTGAAAATTGAAAAAAAAAAAAAAATTGCTACTCTGGAAATACATGATGAATGTTAGTTACTTTAAAAATGGATAAAACTGTTACTTTAAAAAAGAGGTAGCAAACACTGGTTACTAAAAAAATAGAGAAAATTGTTACTTCGCAAACAGATGATGAAAACTGGTTACCTCGAAAAGGAGAACATTTTAACTTTAGAAATAGATGCTGGTGTTCCATTACTACAGTAATTTTTGTAAATTAGCAAACTTTTTTTTTCTATATAAAAAAAAAATACTTTCCATAATCATTAAAATCTTTCTCTCACACACGCACGCACACACTATGTCACACATACTTTCTCTCTCACACATATTCACTCCCTCACACACACATTTACAAATCTATGCATTCACACACACATGCACACAAACTGTATCTAAATTTTGCAGTAGTGTACTTGAAAGATAAGAGAAAAGAAGTATCTTAAAGGACAATGGACGATTAGGCTGCAGGTGTTCTATCAACAGGCCGCTTGAAACTTCCGGTTAAAATGGACGCTAGGCAGCGGCACTGTTCGAAGCAGAGGCAAATTTTTTGCTTCTACCGGACGGTGGCCGAAGTATTTTTGCTCCATTTGTAGACTGGATATAGTTTCGTCGCCCAGCTTCTGAGTTGAATGCGTGGCGTGACCCTGTGAGCTGGGGATTGCATTTGGAATGTATTTTCGACTGTGACCAACGTGGTGGTGTGAATTGTAGATTCAGAAAATGGCGTGATGCCTGTCGTGCAATGTTGGCGGTGCCCGTATCTAGTTAAAATTGATCGCACGGACAACTGCTGATCTGTTGGCGACAAGTTCTGCTATCATCAATGATGAACTGCATTTCTAATGTTAGACTGTTTGTGTTAGCACTTCGGATGGCTACGGTATGCTTTAATGCGAGTGTATGCTAGATATGCTGAGACAGCAGTCTGTCAATCTTTCCACAAGGGACTGTGATAAACATTGCTAGTGTTTTTCGTTGGCACAGGAGCGGAGCAAAGATGGGGCGACCTGTTGCTATGAAGCTGAAACTAAGACTACCAGACCAGACCAGACTTTAAACTGATTATGACAACCGTATTAGCATCGACCATTCAAAGAGGGATGACAAAAAGCATAATTGCCCAGTAAATCACAAACTAACTGACAATGGTTTATTTAGTGCTTGGTCATAGAAAAATGAAGAGACCTCAAGAACCGACCAGAACGAAAAAACCACAATGAAAGAGACAGAATGATGATATCAGGAGGAGAGTGGTAGAGAATCAATACTGAATTTTATCTGTAGACAACAGATTAAATGGTTTGGCCATGTAACAAGATTGGCAACAGGGAGGGCACCTCAAAAAGCAATGTCACACAGATGCAACATTAACAGATCCAGATGCTTACCACACAGACTATAGGCTGCAGAAATATCGGAAACACTGAAAAGTACTATACAGGAAGCGAACAGAAGGGCCCGTTTCGGAGATCTCTGCCTGCCCTGACGCTGCAAGGTACTCCAGGAGTAGAGTAAAGAAGAAGAACCATAAACAGCGAACAAATACTAGGGTTGGTCTGCAAAGGAAGAGCAACTAACTTACTGTTGTACAATTTAGAAACAATTACAGTGTTTCTACAACTCACAAAAAAATTGTATTTTGATGGAGAGACACTTGATAAGGGGAAAAAAAAAACTATGCTGACCAGTCTAAAGACTAAACATTTACTAAAAGAAATATATAACTTAAAAAGCCTTCATGCAAAATTTTAAAGTATAACGGTGCTTTATTAATATCCTACCCCAATCTTGGGAATTCCACAGGTCATGGGACAGTCTAATATTTCAGGCAGTCATGGGATCTAGGCTGCACTCTCTTGTGGGACGTAGGTGGGTTGAGGTTAGGGCCAGTTCTAGATGTTTTGGGGTCGTTAAAAGCATCAGAAAACTGGGAAACCCAATCTTACCACCCTCTAAAATGTTGGACTGTCCTAGATGTCATCTGGGGGTAGGATATTAATAAAAAAAACCAGCATAACATTAGAATAACTGACATTCCATACGTTTTCTGGGGCCCCGTTGTGGGGAAAATAAGTACAGACCCACTGCCTCCCCCACAAGCATGTCCTAGGGGTCAGCTAACTTCGAAGTCACAGTACATGTGCCTGAGATGCAAGAAACCATCAGTCTGCATACAGATAAGCCAGATCTATACAACGGATGTGTTCAAGTTCTGGAACACAACTAAAGTCAGAAGTGGATGAACACCCAGAACTTTCTGCCAGGGTTAACAGCCGGTGAAAGTAAAGAAGATGAAGAAGAATTAAACACACACAAAACTCTGATAAATTAGTTACCTGTTGCATTCCAAGTTGGTCGGCATGACCCTGGGATCGGATGCTCCAGCCTCCCCCAGACCCTGGCTGAGGGGAATAGTGAGGGGACAACTGGCTAGCTTGAGGGGAGGGGCTGGGAAAGTGAGGGGACATGGGTCCAGGCATGCCTTGACCTCTCTACCATCAGAAACCAAGGCAAGGGAAGCAACCAAAGAGTGGCAAGCAATTGGTGGGGATGTGAAGGAAGTGGAATGAAAGGAAACAAAACAAAAGTAAGCACACAAACAAATGAGAACAAAACAAATAATTCTATCTACTTTCTAAAAAAAAAAAAAAGCTGCTAATAGCAAGTTGTAATAACAAAATTTTAAAACACAGTAAGAGATATAGGTGTTGCCATGACATGCAAAATTTTCACTCTCAACCTCTGAAGAAGAGGTCAAGCTGTCTGTCTGCCTCACGATCTGAAGATCGGGACATGGCTTCAGGAACTGTGTCATTTGGTTAACAATGCAGTTTTTAATGGAGAGGATAATCAGTGGTGCTACAAAATTCATACTCTATGCAAAGTTTTGACCAGGCTGCTAGCCGTTTTGCAGAGAGAAAAATAGTTAAATGGGTTCAAATCCAGTGCAATCAAGCGGCACCTCTCGACTTTAACTTTTACCAAGATGAGTGAATAAATCATGAACTGACATCAATGCATTTTGGACATTCCCACACATGCTCCGTCTCTTCAGTGAGATTAACATTATGTGTACCCAATCCTCTATTCCCACCTCCCCCCCACCCCCAGTTAAATTAGCTTTTTAATGTATCGATTTCTTGTCTGTCCTACTGTACTGTTCCTTGATCCCAGAGTGACTTTGTCCTATCCACTTTACCATAAAGTAGCTCATCACCCAGAGGAGCTGCAGCAGTAAATCTTACAGCATGCTCAGTACCTCGCACATCCTAATATCATCGACGGATAATCCAAGATATTCTCCTAATCTGAATCTTATTAAGTGATTCAAGCCACTCTACATGCAAGACAAGTGTTTCAATTTTCAGGATGTTTAATCTGACCAACTTCTTTGAAAATGTAAAATGTTAGCAACCATTTTCGAAATGATTAATCTGACCAACTTCTTTCGGAATCTATATGATCAACTTCATTTGGAATAGATACTCTGACCAACTTTTTTGGGAATGTATAATCTGACCAACTTCTTTCACACTGTATATTATGACCAATTTTATTCAAAATCCATATATGTGAAGTACAAAGTAAACTACAAAAATCAATATATACCAAAACTGCTTAAAATGAACCAAGAAATAAATATTTAGATAATAAAGATATCAAAATAAATGTCAAAAACTCAGTTAACTAAACTAACATTTCAGCATGCACTATTTCACTGTAGCAGACATTTAGTGCCATATATAGTAAAACAAATAGAAAGGTGAAATGTGGAGGGATATTAAAACCAATACAGAAGGGATAGCAAGGGAATAAAGAGGGAATATAAATGTTTAAGGATCTTGCAGGAAGGCAATAATGTGATCACTTATAGAAACACCGCTTTTCTTATCGATTAAGTATTTCATGTGTATTTAAAAACATCTTCAACCATATAACCATCCCTAATAATCGGGCAACGGATCGTAAACTGTTCCTCTCCATGAAGCTTAACAGCACAAGAGGAAACTGATAATGATGATCATGACAACAGAAAAACATACAGTGTATTTAATCATCTCCGAAAGACAATAACAAAGGATAAAATAAGCCTCACTGATAAAAATAAAAGTTGCCAGCAAATGAAGTGGTATGCAAAGAAAGATTACTTATATTTGTACCTACTTCTGCTTACAAATGAGTTTGTATGTGTTTAAAGTAAATTACCCTTTTCACACTGTCTGCATATGGGACAGGACACATATTTTTACAAAATAAACAGCACTCGATAGGTGCTAGGTGTGTACATATGAGTCATTCAGCTGCATTACTTGTGGTTGTTTCTTTTCGAAGCTGGTTAATTTTACTTTTTTGTATGTTATGTTTGTTTCGTGCAACCACAAGGATTAAAACATTTCAGTTTTCAAATTATAAGCATTGAAGTTGATGCAAAAGTAATGAGGGAAAAATTTGAGAATAAATTATAAGTAATGCAAATTAGTAAACAAAGTTTTTTTTTTAATTTAGAGCAAAATGACTACTAACAAGATTTTCTAAAACAGAAAGAAAGAAAGAAAGAAAGAAAGAAAGAAAGAAAGAAAGAAAGAAAGAAAGAAAGAAAGAAAGAAAGAAAGAAAGAAAGAAAGAAAGAAAGAAAGAAAGAAAGAAAGAAAGAAAGAAAGAAAGAAAGAAAGAAAGAAAGAAAGAAAGAAAGAAAGAAAGAAAGAAAGAAAGAAAGAAAGAAAGAAAGTCTGGACTCACCTGTACAGGTAGGGTGACGTTAGGCGGGTGTCCCTGGGTCATCAGCTCTCGCAGGTTAAGGTTATCTGGGAAGGGTGCCTGAGTGCCAGGTGAACCATCAAGTGGGGACATGCCAGCCTAGAATTATGGAAAACCAAAGAAAACCATTATTTGACTACGTGAATCTCTGTATATTACCTATGGCGATGGAAAACTTGCTGCACACAAAACAGCCAAACGTCAAGCAATTTATTACTAGGACTTTTTTTTTATATCCAGAAACCATGAGTTGTTAACCCTTTGGCTCGGTACTATGGATATCACAACCTTTTGGCCTTGATTCCATAATAGGTACAGTAAATCTTGGAGAAATGTGGCTTTTCTGCCTACCCCCGGGGGTGGGGGGGGGGGTGAACACGGACCACAAGGGGTTCATCGCCCAGTCCCCACTCAGAGGGATTTAACCAAGTGAGCTAGCGAGCCGGGCGTTAAGTGTCGGTGCCAGACATGGTTATTGTATAGCTGCAGGGGTCAACTCTAGGCTGAGGATGATAGGGGGCTTCTCAGTGGTCAACATGGAGACACTCAGTGGTCAACATGGAGACACTCAATGGTCAACATGGAGACACTCAGTGGTCAACATGGAGACACTCAGTGGTCAACATGGAGACGACAGTTTTGAAAATAAATGCCTTAGAAGAATACTAAATTTCAAATGGTCAGATTTCCGAACCAATACACAAATAAGGCAAGAATCCAGGCAAGAGTATGTGTCTAATTTTATACGAAAACGCCGCTGGAACTATGTCGGCCACGCCCTTAGAATGGATAAATCAAGACTTCCTTACCAAGCCCTCATTTGGACACCACAGGGGAAAAGATCTCGTGGAAGACCAAGGGAAACCCTATGTAGAACTATCATCAGGGAAGGCTCGCTCATGGGCCACTCAAACATCCAAGACCTACAACGGATTGCAACGGACCGCCGTGCATGGAGAGTCACGACCTCTGCCCTATGTGCCGCACTCGACACAAGAGGAAAGACTAACTAATAGCGGGTTGAATGGTACGTGTCTGAAGCAAGTTAAGGAATTTAAATATCTAGCAAGTATATTCTTGGAGGATGGGAGAAAAGATCAGGAAATAGAAGCAAGATGCCAATGAGCCAGTTATAAGACAGCATTATGAAGACATCTAAACATAAGTATGAGCGCCAAGAACAACATATTCATACCAAAACTGTGCTACCAGTGCCAGACATGGACATTATCAAAGGCTAATCTACATAAAATTAAAACCTGAGAAAAGCTGCCAACTTAACCATCTGATACAAAGTTAGAAATGATATTGACAGATTGTAGGAACAACACCACTCAGTTAATTTATCTAGAAACACAAGATCAAATGGTTTGGCCATTTAGTAAAAATGCAGCCAGAACAACTGCCAACGCAGGCGCTACACATCTGAAGTGAAATTCTAGTTGGCCTGCCATTGTTTATTCAGACTAGGTAAACATCTACACTGCCTCTGATAGAGCATTTCCTTGTCTATTTTCCCTAATATTGTCCTATGCTCTGTTCCGTGCACTGAAAGCCCCACAAATGAGAAGCCTATTGTATGAGGGGAAGTCAAAAAATAAGTCACAAAGTGCTTGTTTAAAAAAAAAAAAAAAATAGATGAAAACAATTTGAAAACCTTTTATTTTTACATATACACTGTCCCTTTATTTTTCAACATAATTTCCACCAACACTAATGCATTTGTCCCATCGTTTCATCAGTCCTCCCAAATCTGCTGCACAGAACTGCATGCTCTGTTTTCAAAACCACTTTTTCACTTCACATTCAACTTCTGGGTACCCTTGAGCACACTTTCTTAAATTTCCATCAATCATGCATTTTGCTGTATCTGAACCATGTGAGTACTCTAATGTAGCTGCTACAGAGTCAACCGTTACTTGCCTGCCACCTCTAATCATCTCCTCCACCCGCTATATGGATGCGTCTGTGGTAATCTCAACAGGATGGCCAGATCGGACTTCATCCACAATTTTAGAGCGGCCTTGAGAAAAATTTTTTTACCTAACTATGTGCCACTTTACTTGGTTTTTTTTTTTTTTTTTTTTATCGATCACCGGCTGTGAATTCCAGTGGAAGGTCCCGGTTAATCGTCCGCTTGGACTTTTGGCTTTCACCTGGACCTGATTTTTGCGTGTACAACCGTTTTTCATTTCCCTGCCTCATGGGCAGCTGTACTCCGACTTCGAAGGAAGACGTCAGGCCTATTTCTAGGGTGACTGTGGCCATTGTTTTGTGTGGGTCGAGACGTTGCCTGATTTGTGTGTTGTCCACTTAGTCTCCTTCGCCGCAGGTATTGCCACCGGAGTACCCCTTTGGGGCAGCCCCCTGTGGAACAGTTAGCCCTCAAGGGAAGGCAGGGGCAGATCATGGGCATTCCCCGCCATCCTAGGAGGCTTCAATGCATGCAGAGCCGGCACATGGCGCTCTGGTTCTGGGCTCACCCAAGGAATCGTCACGTCCTGCACATGACTGCTTAACCTCACAACCGTATCAGACCTCCCGCTCGACAGGAAGTCTGCGGGGAGCAGCCCGTGGGTTTTGGACTTTTGTGACCACACAGATAGGTACATTCTTTTTTTTTTCTTCGCACGTTAAATTCCTTTGACGAGCCGTTAGCCCGACAGAATTTTACATCCTGCATCAGGCATATCGTTATCAGTTTTGTCCCAACACTCGGGCGAGTGGGGTCTTTGGGTGTGGACATTCGATCTTTTTCAGTTCAATACGAATTTTGGTGGTCAGATTTTGATCCGTATGATCTAGTTTTGTCGGACATTTAGGCTAAGCCATCTGATAGATGGTTGCTGTTGTGGAGCACCTCAGCGCGGTGACGACGACACTGAGGGTTAACCGAGGATGTACATGAATGGCCAGCCTATGGATGGTTGCTGTTGTGGTGTATCTCAGCGCGGTGACGACGACACTGAGGGTTAACCGAGGATGTACATGAATGGCCAGCCCATGGATGGTTGCTGTTGTGGAGTACCTCAGCGCGGTGTTGACGACGCTGAGGGTTAATCGAGGATGTACAGGGATGGCCAGCCTATGGATGGTTGCTGTTGTGATGTATCTCAGCGCGGTGACGACGACACTGAGGGTTAACAGAGGATGTGCAGTGAACAATGTTCTCTTTACTCCGCAGTCTTTTAACCAAGGGTTGTAATTTTGGCTGTACGTTTGGCAAACCTACTCATGTTCCTAATGAGTTTTGATAACATTTTTCACCCAAGCGTTTGGGGGCGGGCTGATGAGAGCCACAAGGACACATCACCTCTGGGGGCTGCCGAACTCCGAGATCCCCTGACAGCTCTGTTAATGCTCATTTGAGACATTATCCGTGGCGCAAGACGAGGACGTGCTGTAGGGGTCTTGCGTGAGGTTCCGTACAACCAGGATAGTAAAGGACTGGCGCCCGAGTGACGTACGTAGTATCTCCTTATACACATCATGTTGGGCTTAACTTCCCCTCACCCCTGTGACATAAATCACCGCGCCACACTTTACTTGGTTAAATATTTGTCAGCATAGGAAGAATTTCCTTATGAATGTCCTTTGCAGAAGCCCTTTTGCTTAAAAAAAAAAAAAAAAAACAACTCACAACAGCATGTTATTCTTTGAGGGTACACTTCATAAGTACATTCACCATTTTGTTTCTGTGTTGTGAATGAACATGCAACACCTAGCGCCACCTTACAAATGGAGACGTAAAGTCAGATGTTGCTATCACTTAATGACACCTTTAGAAACTGCGAACTACATTTTTCTGCCATCTCCCTAACCATTTGTGACTTACTTATTGACTTCCCCTCATGAGTATATATGTGTGTGTGTATATACATATATATATATATATGTATGTATGAATGTATATATATGTGTGTGTGCATGTGTGTGTGTGTGTATGTGTGTGTATAGTTCTGTCTAGTTTTTAACCCTTTGAAAATAAAGTTTATTTTTTCATTATGACCTGAGCAGGTTTCTTGTATTGTTATTCCTCACGAAGATTTCTTTTCTGTGTAACTGTGACTTCTAAATTTTACACTTATCTTGCTGATTTACCCACCGATAAAGACTTTGGTCAAAATGTGTCTGTTCCGTCATGTATGTTAATTTCTTTCCTTTTGAGAGGATTTCTAGCTATATATTTTTTAAAATTCATTTTTCTTTTACCAACATACCTGATTAAACCTCTGATTAAACTGCTGCGGAAGACCCTGAAGTCGCTGCTGCTGCTGCTGCTGTTGTTGCTGCTGCTGCTGTAGTTGCAGCAATCTCTGCTGTCTTTCCCTATCCTGCTTCTGCCTATCTTGTCGATGCCTTTGCTGATACAGCAAAGTCTGACGAACCATGATGGCTGTATTGAGGCCTGGTGACCGCAGCTGGGTCACTCCACTCTGTAAGGCTGTAGCAAGAGGCCCTGAAATATGAAGTAAATGGAACACTAATGTTGAATGTTGAATGTTCAATTAAGAATCACAGCACTCAGGACACCCCCATAAGTGCTCCGACCCCATCTTCAGCAGCAATCAAAGAGTTAAAATTACGATGGCACCAGTAACTGTCTGATTGTATATCCGTCCCGCCTTTCCCCTGCGTATCGAGTGTCGGCCAGATCCCCCTTGTAACTCCTCGCAGTGCCATTCTCCTCAGATCATAAAGATCTACAGAACACTAATAACCCCTTATTATAAATCGCTGCAATTTATCTTTGTCAGCTGAGGTGAGAAAGAGATTTCAATATACAGTGAAACCTCAATATAAGTGTACCTGTATACAAGCTTTTTTTAAGATAAGAGGTCAGACTTGCCCATTTTTTCTGCGTCGAATAGGAGGCGATATCCAGGATGTGAGGTGGACAGACAAGAACTCTCGACATTACCCGACAGCATCTTAATAACTTTTAGATGGATAAAGTCATATTAACATTGCTGAGGGAAGATTTTAATAACAGATAATTCCGGATTTGTTTTCTGCCCAGGCTGCTGAAGATGGGGACAGAGCGATACTGGAAATAGCCCAAGTACTGTGATGTCAGTTTCTAACTTAACTCAGCTCCAGATTCATTGTCCAACTGTTTGTTCCTATTTTTCTTTCATCTCACTACAAATACATCTCACATATTTATGGAAAGGGGTAGAGTGATATAATGCGAGAAAAGACTACTCACAGTTTGTTTGGGCCCGACTTCGTGACCTGTACCCTCTTCCTGTAGAGAAGTTTAGTGCATAAGAAGCATGATAGGTTAGTTGCGCATCCTTTACAGGATTCTGCATGAGCAGATGGTAAGTGGTGTACCTAAATATAGAGTGGTCCCAACAAGCATGGGGCGAGCATCATTGCAGTTCTCAAGGATTCAGGATAAGTATATGATCCAGGAGACGACAGTGAATCGGCAAATATAAATGGTGGTCCAAAGGACGTTATGTTGAGAAGCTCGCTCTCCTACGAAATTACCCCTGGCCGAATCAAAAGGAGCTGAAACCAAGAAGAAAACAGCAGAAATAAAAGGGAAAGAAAAACACAGTTGACAACAGGATAGGGAATGAGCGGTTTGACTTGGAGGAAAGAAGCATTAAGCCCAGAGACGGCACAAATACTAGAACTTTAGCCACTAAAATGGCGCAAATAAACAAAACCACAAATATAACCGGAGACTGTTGGCAGCCTCAGCTAGCTAGCAGCAGGTTGAACATGGTTTTTTTTATTTTTTCTTAGAAGGAATTGGAATTGGAATCGGCAAACTTGACAAGTATACGAGAACTTAATGTCAAATGAGGTGTTGCCTGACACGAACAATATAAAGGTAGCAAAAGAAGAATAGTAAACCAACATTGAACATGGTGTTGTCAGTCACCACACAAAGAGGGAGATACTAAAGTTGTTGTTGTTGTTGTTGTTGTTGTTATCGATCCAGCGGCTCATGAGCTTTCGCCCTTTGGCCCAATGCCATGTAGTGGAAATTGTATGTTTTCACAAGCTGTTCTTTTCCTCCGTACAAGGTGTTCCACTTGTCTGGTCTCAGAGGGAGAAGCATTCTTCTAGTCTCGCTGTATTCTGTTTAGATGTCCACTGAGTGGTATGTTGCGTTCTAAGTCTGAAGATGGTGGCCTGGTCCCTTCTTGTTAGATTGTTAATGCTGTCATTAGGATCAGGGCCAGCCATATGTCTATAAACCTCTCTTCCAGTGTCTCCCATGGTCCATCTGTTCAACCAAGTCTCTTTGTTTATAGCTAAAGTTGAGATGTGAGCACTAATTGACTTTTGCAATGAGGGTGATCAGTCAATTAACTAACTAATTACCTCTTGGTGGTGTAAATCCTGTTTGCTGTTGCTGAAGTAGCAGCTGCTGCTGCTGTCTCTGCTGCTGTTGATGATGTTGTTGCTGTTGTTGTTGTTGAGGTCGCAGCCCGGGCATGCCTGGACTAAATACTCCCTGCATTCCTTGTCGAATACCATGCCCACCTGAGTTGTAGCTGGTCATACCTTGACCTTGGCCCATAGACATCTGACCTAGCTGCTGCTGTGGGGTGGGTAACCCTCCTTGAAGCTGCTGCTGAAGCGAATGCTGCAAAAGAAGAAGAGGAAACTTGATTACAATTTATCTACTTTTTTAGCTCCCAGTGTAGCATTCACTGGCATATTTCCATCTTTCTAGATGATAGTGTTATAATGTTACAGAGAGGCATGGGACTCACAGCCTATCAAAGCCAGGAAGAAGTAGAAGGTAAAAAGGTAAAGTCAGGAGATGTGAACCAGCGTCACTGCACACGGTTATAAACCATAAGTGCTTTGCCACAAATACGGACAGCTGATAAATAACCATCAGCCTGTGTTGCCGTCCGCACGCAAACTCCGTAGCTACAGCGACTTTCCTCCATTTGCCCCATAGCGTTAACTCTGGTACCTATTACCTCTAAGCTGGGTGAACCCTGAGAACTACCCAGTTTCTAACACCGGCCGTGGGCTGCAGCGAGTCGCAGCTGGATTTGACGGCGAGTCTCCTATTGACTGCGCTAACATGACCCCCCTCTACAGCAGAAAGCCTGGGCAGTATTGTAGGCATCATGTGTTGTTCATGAAGAGCATGATCTTTATTTTGGTCTGCTTGGTTAGCTCCTGCTTGGTTAGCTCCTGCTTGGTTAGCTCCTGCTTGGTTAGCTCCTGCTTGGTTAGCTCCTGCTTGGTTAGCTCCTGCTTGGTTAGCTCCTGCTTGGTTAGCTCCTGCTTGGTTAGCTCCTGCTTGGTTAGCTCCTGCTTGGTTAGCTCCTGCTTGGTTAGCTCCTGCTTGGTTAGCTCCTGCTTGGTTAGCTCCTGCTTGGTTAGCTCCTGCTTGGTTAGCTCCTGCTTGGTTAGCTCCTGCTTGGTTAGCTCCTGCTTGGTTAGCTCCTGCTTGGTTAGCTCCTGCTTGGTTAGCTCCTGCTTGGTTAGCTCCTGCTTGGTTAGCTCTAATGGAGTTGAGTTTAGCTGAGTCAAGAATTGACATCACAGCCCTCGGGGCTTTCCCATGCGGCCCAGAGTTCCAATACTAATGGTACCAGTTGTAATCTGGTTATATGTCAGTTTTGCCTTTCCTCTGACTGTAGTGAGCCGGCAAGACCCTCTGGTTACACCCAGGTGCCTCATCTCTCCAGGCCATAATAATCTTGTTTCTCTTCCAAAAGAAGTTAGCTCCAAAGGAAAGGTAACATCAGCACATATGGAAAAAAGCAAGCTACAGACGCTGCTGGATTGGAAGGACAGTAACAAACCTTCATCAGCAAACAAGAACAGAAAAAAAGAAACAGAAACACAACTGAAATGTTTAGAGTATTGAATAGATCAAGGACTGGCAACCTATGGCCCATGGGCCAAAACCAGCCCGCCGAGCAATTTTTACTGGCCTGCAAGGTTAGAGTAAAATTACTAAATCTGGTCCTTGAGCTCACAAAACAGTAGAATACCAACAGTGTGAACAGAAAAACTTAGGAATTTATAGAAGAGTTTCAGTGGGTGAGTGTGTCTGGCCAGACGCATAGCCAGTGATTATAATTTTAGATTATCCCACAAAAATACTGTGTTACGAAGAAATATGGGTGTTATGTTTTTAATGGACTTTTTTTGGTATACTGCTCGCAACCAGGCTAGTAATTCTAAATTTTGCCCAGGAACCAACAGAGGTTGCCCACCAATGGTGTGATGACCCCGCTTTGCATGGTCTCCAAGCTCACAGAGAGCCAAGAATCCGTGCGACAAACAACCGCACGAGAATCTTGGGGCCAGTTAGGTAGACGTGGGCAGGCCCGAGCTAGACTCGTGGTCAGTTGCTTACCAGAAGTCGTACAAGACAGTTGTGTTAATAGAAGATGTAGTTCTTATGTCGCATGAATGAACAGTGTTTGAATATGTCGCAAGCGATGGAAGTGTGAATAATAGTTGGAGCATGTTGAATAAATGTAACAGAATAAACTGACAGCATGTACAAGGAAGCTGAGCAGTGTTTGTGTTATCATTCCTAGACGTTAGAGCAGTGCAAGTAGATACGTTGCAGTAATCATATAAAGCTGAATCATGGCAAAGAAGATACGTCGTAAGCCAAGGTTCATCGAAAATGGTATAGATGTAGCCGTATATGCCTTGAATGTCCATTACTGCGATACACAAGTTTGGAAAGAAAAGCAAATATTCCTGTTCACGCTCAGGGTACAACAGGGATGTGGTACCAGACGCATAGTTTTAACATACCGATCAGCACAATGGGTGTCGCTATTGCCTTTACTTTCCATGACATTTCCCAGTATCCATGCAACACAAATGGTCGCCCATAAGTCTTTTTTTTTTTAAATGACATTTTTATAGTCTACGATTTTTAATATCACCACCCCCTGGCATCTCATGCCAGTTGCATTTCAACTCTAAGGATCACCAAGCTCCATATACATCAGCGGTTCTCAACCTGTGAGTCGCGACCCTTTATGGGTCGAACTACCCTTTCATAAGGGTCGCCAAGGACCATCTGAAAACACACATTCACTGAAGTTATAAAGTAACAACGGACAAAATTTAATGGTTGAGGGTCGCCACAACATGGGGAACTGTATGAAAGGGTCGCCACAACATGGGGAACTGTATGAAAGGGTCGCCACAACATGGAAAACTGTATGAAAGGGTCGCCACAACATGGAAAACTGTATGAAAGGGTCGCCACAACATGGAAAACTGTATGAAAGGGTCGCCACAACATGGAAAACTGTATGAAAGGGTCGCCACAACATGGAAAACTGTATGAAAGGGTCGCCACAACATGGAAAACTGTATGAAAGGGTCGCCACAACATGGAAAACTGTATGAAAGGGTCGCCACAACATGGAAAACTGTATGAAAGGGTCGCCACAACATGGAAAACTGTATGAAAGGGTCGCCACAACATGGAAAACTGTATGAAAGGGTCGCCACAACATGGAAAACTGTATGAAAGGGTCGCCACAACATGGAAAACTGTATGAAAGGGTCGCCACAACATGGAAAACTGTATGAAAGGGTCGCCACAACATGGAAAACTGTATGAAAGGGTCGCCACAACATGGAAAACTGTATGAAAGGGTCGCCACAACATGGAAAACTGTATGAAAGGGTCGCCACAACATGGAAAACTGTATGAAAGGGTCGCCACAACATGGAAAACTGTATGAAAGGGTCGCCACAACATGGAAAACTGTATGAAAGGGTCGCCACAACATGGAAAACTGTATGAAAGGGTCGCCACAACATGGAAAACTGTATGAAAGGGTCGCCACAACATGGAAAACTGTATGAAAGGGTCGCCACAACATGGAAAACTGTATGAAAGGGTCGCCACAACATGGAAAACTGTATGAAAGGGTCGCCACAACATGGAAAACTGTATGAAAGGGTCGCCACAACATGGGGAACTGTATGAAAGGGTCGCCACTACATGGGGAACTGTATGAAAGGGTCGCCACAACATGGGAAACTGTATGAAAGGGTCGCCACAACATGGGAAACTGTGTGAAATAGTCGCCACAAGGTGGGGAACTGTATGAAAGGGTCCCCACAACATGGGGAACTGTATGAAAGGGTCGCCACAACATGGGGAACTGTATGAAAGAGTCGCCACAACATGGGGAACTTTATGAAAGGGTCGCCACAACATGGGGAACTGTATGAAAGGGTCGCGGCATTAGGAAGGTTGAGGACCACTGATCTACATGGAGGTTAGGCCACAAAATCTGACCACTCTAATGACAGGGTCAGTAGTTCTCTCGAGAGCCGTATTATCCACCACATGGGTGCCAATTCACCTGGGGGGACTTAACATCAGCTTTTCTGGCCAGTATTTACTTCTGAAGGCCACAAACATGCCAGATAAGTTAAGTGATTTTATATACTTTTTGTTTATATTTGTGGTACTGTAGATATATGTAAGTGCTGATGAAGATTCTCTAGCTGCAACATTCACTTGTCATTTCTGTTTGTGATACTGTGAAGCTGATAGGTTCTACTTCTCGTTCTGTTTGATAACTTTTCATGATATTGAACGCTATAAAATCTTCCGAACAGACTACTTCAGTTTTAAAATTCCAACAGTTAGTCAGACAGTTAGTTAGTCAAGAGTTAACCCTTAATGCACCTCAAACCATTTAGTCCTTAGTGTTCGGATCCCATCCTCGGTAAATCCTGCAGCGTGTAGTGTTCTGGTGTATTATTCTTCTTTGGCTTTCTGCATATTGTTCTTGCCGGGCTTTTTAACTTGCTGTTCTTGCAGTCAGTCTGGTCATGTACCTAATTTTTAAAAATGCAATTTTTCGTTATTTTGAAGCCCCACTCCGACTGTTGCCGGGGGCGCTAATCATAACCCAATCTATGGGTTGAAATTGGTTTCTAGGACCTCTCCATGGGTGATCTTCATCTGAATGGTAGCACTTTGTGTCACCGGGTGTTTATCGCTCAATGCGATGTTCTGGAGGGGTAAAAAGTACAGTCAAGTCTGGTCATGGTTGCAGATTCAGTCACTTGATTCTCACAAAAGTCATATTTCGTGAACAGCATTCAGTTTATCAGCCCAGTCCATGGCTCACTTGCCCTTCACAGTTGCCTTACCTGCAAGCCTATCAGCTTGCTCATTTTCTTGCACACCTACATATTCTGGCAAACAGAATACAGCCACAACACTCCTCAGAGTGCCAGCTATTAACTACCTCTACAAAACTGTTGAACACCATCTCTTTGAGTGCCCAAAACTCAGGGAGACTAGAAGAACGCTACTCCCTCCGAGACCAGACAAGTGGAACACCTTGCACGGAGGAAAAGAACAGCTTGTGAAAACATGTAAATTCCACTACATGGCATTGGGCCAAAAGGGCGAAAGCTTATGCAATGCTGGATCAATAACAACAACAACAACAACAACAACAAAATATTAAACTGATCTTTGTCAGCCCCGACAGCCTCAGAGACACTAATCAGTGTCTCTGTACCCAACCCACCTCCTATAGATACCAGAAGGAAAAAGAACATGGGGAAGACCAAGAGAGATCCTGTGTAGAACCATCATCAGGGAAGGCTCAACCATGGGCCCAACAAACATCCAAGACCTAAAACAGGTGGCAATGAACCAGCAGACATTGAGAGCTATGACCTCTGCCCTATGCGCCACCCTCGGCTCAAGAAGAAAGACTAACTAACATCTATAAAATCCTGAGCATACTCATTAAATCACTGAGAGAGCAGGCGGGTCTGTCTGTGTCTCTAGCCACGTTATTGCTTTGGTCACCGCAATGACCTCCAAAGTCCAGCTCCATCAGTTATCCCGGGTTATAGTTGCTAAAGGTTGACTATGAAAAGCTTTAAGGTATATTAATAAATAATACACCTTGCAGAAAGTGAGCAAGAGTTGAAGGGCCTATTGGATCAAGTTAACAGGTAGAGTGCAGACAACCCACAGTCTTAGAGAATGTGGAACCAAAACATGAGACAGATCCTGTTGCAGATTCATTGCAGCTAACCTCCATTGTGGACATCTTGCACCAAATTCAATGAGAAGCAGAAGATCAAATGTTTCAGTCATCTCAGGCTCAAAAATTACCAACACTTGAACTACACCTAAGAAGACCTGATGCGAGACCAAGAAGATGCCCAAGGAGGAGATGGATTTATAACATTAAAGGCATTCTACATCAACACAGAATGACAACAGATAATGCTGCCCAACAAGCCACGAATGCAAACTATTCCACCTTTGCCCGAGGAGGAGATGGACTGATAGCATTAAAGACAATATACATTAACACAGAATGATAATAGCCAATGCCGCCTATCAAGCCAAGGAAACAAACTGTTCCGCCTGTGAGCCTGAGGACTGAGGGTTGTATGGCTATTGCTGTCATGACATTGAGCCAGTTAGGATTCCTTTTTGCCCCCCACTTAAAAAATATCCCTAACATTTTTTTAAGGATTCAAACCCATGTCTCCTGCATGAAGGCCCAGCATTCTTAACCATTTATGCTCCTCTTTCTTTTTACTAAAATATGTAAAAATTATTTTTTTAAGGCTAATGATAAAATGCATTAACAAACCTGTAGATTTTGTCTGTTTATCATCACACTGTTATCCATCATACTTCCTAGCATTTGTTGTTGTTGGTGTTGATGCTCATGCTGTTGCTGCTGCTGCTGTTGTTGGTGGTGTTGTTGTTGTGGTGACATTAAAGGTTCCTCACCCATCAGCTGCCGTTTTATATCATCAATGGCCAGCTGTTCATTCGACTCATCCTGTCTCGTCTGGTTGGCATTTGGCGCAAAATTTATCATATTTGGCCAATTTCCTGTCTCTTTGAAAATGTCCTCCAGTTGGGCGACCAGGCTGGAGTCGTCGTCTAAATCAGCATCCGCCAGAACTGACTGCTGTTGCTGCTGCATGTTTTGTTGGGATGATGATGATACCGATGTAGAAGGTGATGATGACATTGATGTGGCTGTTAACGATGACTGCGGTATAGATGTAGTAGAAGAAGGCTGCTGTGGTGGCGACAAAAATGGCTGCTGCTGTTGGATAGGCAAGGACAACAAGTGGTTGTCTTGAGACTTCTGCTGCAGTTGTTGTCGGTGTTGTAAAAGCTGCTGTTGTATCGCCTTCTGGCTCGACAGTAACCGAAGCTGCTCCTGTTGTTGTTTTTGTTGTTGTTGCTGCTGCTGCTGCTGCTGCTGTTGCAGAGGTTGACGCTGTTGTAAAGGTGTCATTCGACTCTGCATTGAAGGCGGAATAGATGCAGACAAGGCTTGAGCAATAGAACTCACAGTTGACATATTTGTGTTGATGTTAAGCATTCCCATCGAACCTATAGCCCCACCCATACTTGCCAGCGATGAAGGCTGCTGGCTCATTCCAGAGTTAGCTCCCATCTTCTTCTGCAAATCTTCATGCAAATCGGCAGCCTGCTGAAGTATCTGCTGCAGTAATGGATCATTCTCTGTAGAATCAGCACGACGTAATCCAGGCATTGATTCACCCCCAAGGGATTCGTTAAACAAGGCAATATCACTATCTAACAAGTTATGAAACTGGCCTAAATGACTATCAGATGCCATCAAATCCAACCCATTCATGCTTGAATCTGAGTCCACACATGAATGACCACCTGAAAAGCCATTTCCAAGGAATCCTGACATACTGTTACTGTTTGTAGTACCAGTATTACAGTTTGTAGATGAAGTACTACTGTTTGTAGTACCAGTATTACAGTTTGTAGTTGAAGTACTACTGTTTGTAGTACCAGTATTACTGTTTGATGTTGACCCATTTGAAACCATACTGGTGCTAGACACATTTCCGATGAACACACTGTTCGGATTGTCTGCCATTTGAACACCAGAAGCTTTGCTAGTTACAGCATTATCGGCTTCATCTGAAGGTTTGACGGTGATGATTTTATCTACAAGGTTCCTCGGGTAGCGGTTCTGCGGAACTCCAGTAGGGTTGATGGAAATGTTTGTGTTGATCACCGTCTCCTTTTGTGTGGTCTTACTGAGAAGCTGAGCCAGCAGGGCATTTCTCTGAGATAGTTCACTTTGCTGAGAGTTTGACGCACTTGAAGATGTGCTCGGTACCATGTCTATTCCCACACCGTCGCTGCTATCAACATCAGGCAGAGATATCTTTCTGCGTTTGCTGTTACCGTTTCCGTTGCCTCCATTGTTGTTGTTGTTGCTGTTGCTGCTGCTAGGTACTTGTATCTGTTGATGTTTGGGGGATGAGTCATCCTTTGACCACAGAGTATGAAGTAATCTGTAATATAAGTTGTTTTAAATAAGGTAGTTTGTTTTAAAAGTAAATTCAAGCGAGCCAAAATTCACAACCTCCTATTCCCCTCATGACTGGCACTTGAAGGTTAGATACCCAGAAATTCAAAAATCTAAATCTGGATGGTAAACAAACAGGACAAATTCCAGACACCAGATGATTAGGACAAAGGGTATAAACTGTAGACCTGCACAGGTAAGTATACTGAGTTTGTAAATGTCAAGTCATTTGAAATAAAGCAGTTTTAATCAGGTATTTGTTTAATGTCAAGTAATTTGAAATATAAGCAGTTTTAATGAAGTATTTTATCAGGGTAAAGCAATTTGAAACAAAGCCATTTTAATGAGATATTTTATTGGTGTGAAGTAATTTGAAACATAAGCAGTTTTAATCAGGTAATTTTTTTAAGTTAAGTAATTTGAAATTTAAATAATTTTAATTAAGTATTGTGTCTGTGGGAGGCAATCTGAAATATAAGCAGTTGTATCAGGTTTTGCGTCTGTGCAAAGTACTGATGTAATTTGAAATATAAGTAGTTTTAATCAGGTAATTTGTCTGTGGGAGGTAATCTGAAATATAAGTAGTTTTAATCAGGTATTTTGTCTGTGGAAGGCAATCTAAAATATAAGTAGTTTTAATCAGGTATTCTGTCATGACCTTTGTCCATTTCTTTGTATAAAAACAGAAAAATAATATTCTTTGGACAGAAGCAGAGATAGATAAGATTCATTAGACTAAAACTAAGATATAAGATTCTTCAGATAGAAACAGAGGCAAATGAGATTCTCTGGACAAAAACATTTAGTTTAAAAAAAAAAACAGAAACACAGAGACACATTTCTTTGGATAGAAATAGAAACAGACAGATGTATTTAGACAGAAACAAAAATGTTTCTTTTGATAAAAACTTTAGATTTCTTGAAATGAAACAGATAAATTTCTTTACATATAAACAGACACATACAAATGTATTTAGACAAAAACAGGGACAAATAAATGTATTTAGATAGAAATAAAGACAGACAAATGTATTTAGACAGAAACAAAAATTTTTTTTTAGACAAAAACCTTAGATTTCTTTAAATGAAACAAATTCATTCTTTATATATAAACAGAAGCAAACAACTGTATTTAGATAGAAACACAGACATATAAATGTATTTAAACAGAAACGTAGACAGACAAATGTATTTAGACAGAGACAAAAAAGTTTAATCGGACAAAAACATTAAATTTCGTGAAATGCAACAGAGACAGGTAAATTTTTTAGATATAAACAGAGACAGACAACTGTATTTAGACAGAAACAAATAAGTTTCTTTAGACACTAACAGTAGATTTCTTTAAATGAAAAAAAAAATTATTTCTTCACATATAAACAGAAGCAGACAAATGTATTTAGATAGAAACAAAGGCAGATAAATGTATTTAGACAGAAACATAGACAAACAAATGTTTTTAGACAGAAACAGAGACAGATAAATGTATTTAAACATAAAAAGAGACAGATAAATGTAGTTAGATGGAAATATAGACAGACAAATGTATTTAGACAGAAACAAATAAGTTTCTTTGGACAAAAACAATAGATTTCTTGAAATGAAACAGAGACATTTCTTTAGATATAAATAGAGACAGACAAATTTATTAAGACAAAAATACAGACAAATGTATTTAGACAGAAAGAGAGACAAATAAGATAACTTGACATCCAAAGAGGGGAATAACTCACTCATCAAGCTGCTGCCCTCCCCTTCTAAAATTATCACTGACACTGTTCAGACGCTTTTGCATTGTCTGCCCTTGCGGTGTGCAAGGCTCGGAATTACAGAAAGGGATGGACGATGACTGGGGTTCCTGGTGCTCTGACTGATGCCTGGATCTGGACACTGGGCCTGCATCCAGCTCGGCAGATGTGCTTTCCTGGATATAAACATTAAGACATTAGTCAATTTATTTTCATGTGTATTGGATGTTCTAAGTTTGGACCTTTTTTTTTTTTTTTCAAATCAGCATATAGTAATAAAAACACTAGGAGTCACAAAACGAAACAAAAAAAGAAAGCCAATTAGAGAGATGAACAGAGGCGAGCGATATCTGCAATGAACCTCGAGGGCTCAGGATGCTGAAAAAAAATTAGAAGGAAAAGGAACAGGTGCAGGAGGAGAAGACGAACAGAAGAAAAACAAGAAGAGGGGAAGAAGAAGAAGAACAGGAGGAGGGAAGAAGAAGAAGAAGAAGAAGAGAAGAGGAAGAAGAGGAGGAGTGAGGAGAAGATGAAGAATGTGATTTGCAAAACGGAGAATTGGATCTGCAAAAAGGATGATATTGGCTTGACAATCCTGCATCTCTACTTCTTTCCTTGCTTTCATAAGTGCTCATCAAATACATTTTAACTTGGTATTTAAAGAAAGCAATGGCAAACTACTGGACGTAAATTTGCCTAGAAAAACCACACAACAGCCAGGGGCTGTTGGGGTTGGTTCTGCAACGTCCTGTAAGGATACGCAACTAACCATTTAAATGGCCTAAGGAAGAGTTCTTCAACTTTTTAATATCTATTACCAGGAAAACAGAAGAAATATTTTGCTAACCGCCTGGAAGAAAAACCAAAACCAAATGTAGATAGCATTTTATTAATTTATTACAATGATCATGCTATTATTTAAACTGTCTGGCATCTCCTCTTCTCGTCTCCCCCTGCTTCTCTTTCACTAAAATTTCCCACTGTCACAACATACTCCCGTTTTTCCCTTTTTATGATGTGGCCAAGGAATGTAGATCAATGTTCTTCAAATTTTTTTTTTTCCACACCAGCTGACCTGCAAAACGGTAGACACTATTTCGTCGACCATCTGACAGTTAAGCAAAAACAAATGCAACGACAACAACAAAAATGTAGATAGCGCTGATTATGTTAAATTTGATGTCACAGATTTACCATTTTCAGCTGAATCAGTGTTTATGATAAACGAAGATCTGTAAAAAAAGCCACTCAATGTCTCTTTCTTTCTTTTGATCTATTTTCTGATTAATGACATTTGAGAAAGTCTTTTTTTTGTGTGTACAACAGGAAGCTGAAGCAAAATGACCAGCAATCTCACAGTTCATAACTCCTTCTAGTGTCCCTTACACATCCAAAACTGACGCATTGGTTGCATTTTACTATGAATCAATCAAGTTCAACAATTTCCTCTTCCACCCTCATATAGTGTTAACTGATTTCTCAGAGTATATAAGTAAGTAAAGTAAAGGACCCTTTTCCATGCCTTTCAGGCGTATTGGGCATATAGGGCTAGACCTATATTTTATAGACCAAACGGCACTTGGTGGGTGATGTGATCAGCATCACGCCGGCTGCCTTTACTTCACAGGACTGGTACCCACTCAAGACTGGGTCGGCATGGGAGCCAAGGTCATTTTTGGGAAAAGTCTGGCCCTCAGCAGGAACCGAACCCACAACCATCCGATCTGCAGGCGAGAGTCTAGCTGCTAGACAACAGTGGCTCCCTCTCAGAGTATATATTTGCCTTAAATTCATATATCATGTAACTATTTATATGACTAAAATGAAATTTGTATTATTTCACATTTTGCTCATTCTGTTTTGATTTGTGTTGTGATGACAGAAATTGTACTATGAATAATTAGACAATCTTACTAACACTGTGTCATTAACATGGTGGATATATTGTTTCCTTGTTGTACAATCACTGATTATTCTCCTAGATTTTATCTTTAGGGGGAACTTCTTCAAAGATGCCATATGCATTTTTTTACCCTTCTATATATGAATTTTGATGAGCGGCTGGCCGAACAGTTAGAATGCTGGGCTCTCAGGCAGGAGACCCGGGTTTGAATCCTCTGTAAGGCTGGAGAGTTTTTCTGTCAGGGGCAAAATAAAATCCTCACCGGCACAGTCGTGGCGACAGCACTAGCCATGCGGCCGTAAATCTTCAGGCTCAAAGACCCCCCTGCCTACACCTCATAAGTGGTATAACAAAGGCAATAATCAGCAGTTTACATGGATTTTAGTCCTAGTAATAAATTGCTTGACCTTGCCCTTTCTGGGACTGTTTATGTGCAACAAGTTCTTTTTCCTCATAGGTAATTTACAGAGATTCATACAGTCAGTTAATTATTTTGTTTGGTTTTCATATTTCCTACACTCCAGCAAATAGTGCTCTATAGTACTGTATTTCTGGCACACATTACAGGTCTCTTCCTATATAGTAAAGCAGGACGATCCAAGAGGTGGTCAAAGTAATTTACAACTGCATGGTATTTTAACTTCCATCTGGTATCTGACTTTGTTTTTTAGGAAGATTTAACAACTTATATCTGGTAATCTGGTAATCCTAGTTTCAACTTCATTGCATATGGGTCACTGCATAGTTGCTCCGCTCCTGTGCCAACAAAAAACACACGTAGCTCACAGTGTCACAACATGCACTCAACTCAGAAGCTGGGCAACAAAACTATAACTTATATGAATGTCTGTGGTCCCACTTCACGGACCATTCCTCTAATATACATTTTGTTAATCAGTGATTTAGCGTCTCCTGTGCTTATACTTATATTAACAGCGTTCAATCAAGTGCAGTATAAATCAGCCGTTACATGATAAGGCAGGCAAGTTTGGTGGACCAACAGAGCAGTGGTGTGCAGAAGACCACAAGTTGAAGAACACTGATGAAGACTGTTTCCCTCTAATGAGGGTAATCAGTTCTCTTCGTGAGTTAATTTCTGTCAAGACAGACATCTTCATTCACATTTTTTTCTGTCTCCTTCTTCTTAATCTTCTTCTTCTTCTTCTTAGCTTTCACCCAGCTCTAAACTCCGGTGGAAAGTTCTGGTTGGCCGTCCACTTCTGGACTGCAGTCCTGTTCCAGAACCTGAGTGTTGCGTGCACATCCGTTTTACACATCTAACTCATTTCTAGGTAGACTGTTAATTCCTCGCCTCTCAGGTAGATGCACTCCGACTTTGAAGAAGGACTTCTTATTGAAAGGGTGGCTTGGCATGCTGTATTGTGGTTAACAGCTTGGCTGCAATACCTGTGACTTCCAGAACGACACGTCTGATTTTAGAAGAACTTAATCAGTTACCTTTTAGGACATGCTTGTTAAGTGAAGAGGTCCTTTTCTTCTTTCTTTTTTTTTTCACCCATAAGGATTTTCAACTGTCACCCCAAAAAAAAAAAACTTGTTGAAAAATTAATGAGGGCTTATCTTACAGCGGGCGCTGATGTTGTGATGCTCCCAACACTGGCGGCGTCGTCGTCATCATCACTTTGGTCCAGCAACTGGTTAAGAAGTTCCCGGCCGGCGTCTGGCTTTCTCTTATTGGAATTACCACTAGCTGTAGATGTTGTGGTGGTCATTGTGGAGCTGGTCGCTCCGGAGGTTGTAGACTTCGAGAAGAGAGAGGTGCCTTTGGATGTATGCTCTGCAATCTCCCTCCGCAATCTTTCATTTAGTTCTTTCCGATTGGCGTGTTTGGCTTCTTCCCGCAGAAGTTGCTGGGGACAATTGAAATATGGGTAAAACTGCATCAAAAATAGTGGCTGGGTAAATGCCTCAAGGTCTTGGGTTTGAATACAAACAAGGCAAATTTTTAAAAGAATTGTGTTTGGCTTCCAGTCAGACGCAGTCTAAAATGGGTCCCAGGTAAAGTCATAGGATTCAAGGCGGCTAGGATCAGATGACCTATTTAACAGTTTTCAGTCTCATTCTAAAATCCTACCAACAATCATCATCATCATCAACTTTATCTTGCATCGTCTTCTTCTCCGCATTCACAGGCTGGTAACTCCGGCGGAAAATCCTGGCTGTTTATCCACTTCTTGTTCCAGGACTTGGATGGTGGAGCAGAAAGAGCTCATGCGTTGACAGTGAGAGACTCAATTAGCATGCTTAAGAAGATCCGAACGTTGAGTACAGAGACACTGAGGTGATCGCTGCATCACAGGATGGAGCAGGAACCGGTCCGACCAATGTGCTAGAATGTGGAGACGGACAACAAGTAACTGTGTGACAGCCTTACGTAGCATATGATGGCACATCATCATCATCATCATGTAGCATATGATGGCACATCATCATCATGTAGCATATGATGGCACATCATCATCATCATCATGTAGCATATGATGGCACATCATCATCATCATCATGTAGCATATGATGGCACATCATCATCATCATCATGTAGCATATGATGGCACATCATCATCATCATGTAGCATATGATGGCACATCATCATCATCATCATGTAGCATATGATGGCACATCATCATCATCATCATGTAGCATATGATGGCACATCATCATCATCATCATGTAGCATATGATGGCACATCATCATCATCATCATGTAGCATATGATGGCACATCATCATCATCATCATGTAGCATATGATGGCACATCATCATCATCATCATGTAGCATATGATGGCACATCATCATCATGTAGCATATGATGGCACATCATCATCATCATCATGTAGCATATGATGGCACATCATCATCATCATCATGTAGCATATGATGGCACATCATCATCATCATCATGTAGCATATGATGGCACATCATCATCATCATCATGTAGCATATGATGGCACATCATCATCATCATCATGTAGCATTTGATGGCACATCATCATCATGTAGCATATGATGGCACATCATCATCATCATCATGTAGCATATGATGGCACATCATCATCATCATCATGTAGCAGGTCCTTTGCAGAATGTCGCTCTCATAACAGTCTGCCTGAAAGAAACTCGGTCTCTCTCCAGCTCTCCCGCCTCATGCACTTTCACACTCAAGGAGTCACTTATATCCTGTGCCCATCCTCGTGTAGGTCGACCCCTGCCCCTCCTTCCTGGTACCATGCCATCTGCTATAATTTTTTCCAATCCGTCGTGGCGCTTGATATGACCAAAATATTTCAGCTTTTGAGAAAGGATGCTGTTTATTAGCCAATCTTCCTTGATGTTCAGATCTTTTAAGATGTCAATATTTCTCATCTTCTTTGTCCAAGAAATTCTAAGAATCTTTCTATAGCATTTCAACTCAAAAGCTCCTATTCTCTTTGATGGCACAACAGGATGATAATATATGTGCCTTTCCCCTGCCCATCTGACACTTTTGGACATTTGTTGATGAGTTAACCCACCTGAATCATCATCAACCTTCTCTTCATCATCATCATCATCATCATCATCATCACCATCATCATCATCATCATCATCATCATCATCATCATCATCATCATCATCATCCTCAGTAACACTTACTACTGAAAGACTGACAAAAGTAGCCATAATAACTCTTTTTCTCCCAAACAATTCACAATGTCACACTAAAGAAAATATGACATACTTGTTGCCTTGTATCACAGACGGTCATTATGTTAACTTCTGATATGAATTATTAGTTTAAGTACTCCCTGTGTTGGTTCTGGGGCCTCACTGTGGGGAAAGCAAGAACAGACCCACTGTCTCCCCAGCAAGCATGTTGTAATTGGGAGCTTCCATCGAAGTCAGAGTGCATCTGCCTAAGAGGCTAAGAACCAACAGTCTGCATACAAATAAGCCAGATCTGTAAAACTGATGTGCATGCAACACTCAGGTTCTGGAACATGGCTAAAGTCTGGAGGTGAACAAATAACCAAAACTTTTCACTGGAGTTTACAATTGGTGAACGCGAAGAAGAAGAAGTTTAACTACTTCTGACCCAAAGTTTCTCTAGTGAACTCATCAACAGCTCAGTATTTTGGTTAAAACTCAACTCCATGGGATTTCTTCTTCTTCTTCTTTGTCGTCTCACTGAAATCAGGTTGTAGCCCCGTTAAAGTAACACAGCTGTGTGCTGCTGGAAGAGTTCAAGTAAATAACTAACTATATCAAACACATATGGCTACCTTTAGTAAATACCTGTAACTATACCAAACAAATATGGCTACCTTAAGTAAATAACTGTAACTATACCAAACACATATGGCTACCTTAAGTAAATAACTGTAACTATACCAAACACATATGGCTACCTTAAGTAAATAACTGTAACTATACCAAACACATATGGCTACCTTAAGTAAATAACTGTAACTATACCAAACACATATGGCTACCTTAAGTAAATAACTGTAACTATACCAAACACATATGGCTACCTTAAGTAAATAACTGTAACTATACCAAACACATATGGCTACCTTAAGTAAATAACTGTAACTATACCAAACACATATGGCTACCTTAAGTAAATAACTGTAACTATACCAAACAAATATGGCTACCTTAAGTAAATAACTGTAACTATACCAAACAAATATGGCTACCTTAAGTAAATAACTGTAACTATACCAAACAAATATGGCTACCTTAAGAAGGGCATTGGCTTTCCTCGGCTCTGTCTCACTCTTCTCTACCAAAGTGACAAAGTCAGATGAGCTCCCTGTGAGTCCCATGGAACTTAAGGGAAGTGAAGATATGCTGGCATCGAGCATGGAAGGTTCCTCATCATCATCCTGACTTAGTAACGTCTTCAGAATATTATTCCGATCACCGTTGCTACCAACACCGTTATTATTGGGATTACTGCTGGAGGCACTACTTAAACCTCCAGAGACTCTCCCCCCACTGTTGCTATGACTACTGACACCGTTTGTAACTTCTGCCTCTCCATCTTCATTGGATGTGCTCTGAGGCTTCTGCGGAGGGCTCTGACCTGGCCCTTCTGTCGGAGACTGGTCATCAGGAGATCTTATGACGATGTTGGAACTGCTTGCTTGATGCAAGTCCATACCCAGACTGGCCATGCCTGCTGACAATGAAGGTGACGACGACATTAAACCACAGTTGCTATTGGTCACTGGGTTGCCAGAACCCTGCTGATTCCTGCTGACGGCTTGTCGCCTTCCATCCATGGAAAGAGGGGAATGAACAGGATCTGGTGTGGTGTTCTGAGTCAAAAGCTGACAGAGTCTATGTGACGACAAACCTGAATTATTATTATTCACTGAATTATTACCACCGGCCACTGATGATATGCTCTGCTGCTGAAGACTGCTGAGGTCCATGTTAGTAGAATACGACGGTGACGAGACGGAGAGCAAAGATGAAGAAGCAAATCCTGATGACGAGATTGAGCGGTTCATCTTGACGTCTAAAGACACCATTCCAGACTGAAGGTTAGAGTCCTGGAGACTGTGTAGAGGAGATGGCATGGAAACACCCAGAGGGGTATTCAGAGACTGTGTGAAATCCCCGCTAGAGGGCGGTGTGGTTGGGACTGATGACGGAGATCTGCCCCACCCAGCTGGGCTTGAAGGGTAGCCTGTAATAAACAAATTAAACAACTGTTTTAGTATTAAATATTCTAATCACTTCAGTCACGCTGTGCAGAAGAAAAAGATCAGTAATCAGTGAATCACAGTTCCAGCTTCATAGCAAAAGTAAGCAATGAGCGACCCGGTCGCTGACGAAATACAGAACACAAAAGGCTGTGGATAAATACAACTACCAATGCCACAGGGCGTGGACTTTAAGAAGAAGAAGTTAGCTGAACCTAATCTATTCATTCAGGGCACTGGATTAGAGTTTGTTGATGTAATAGTAATAAAAACAACAAAATCCTGTTCAACTCATCCAGATTACAACTGGGATATATAGTTGTATTTTTTTTTTTTTTTATTTCAATCATGGATATTTATGCCTATCAATTATGTTTGGTTATTTAATACTGCACAGCTTATGTAACAATTATATATCTTCTTCTTTTTTCTTCATGTGCTGGTTGTAAACTCTGGCAGAAAGTTCTGGTTGTTTGCCGACCTCCAGACTTTGGTCTTGTTCCTGAAGCTGAGAGATGCATGGACATCCATTTTATAGATCTGGCTTATATGCAGACTGTTGGTTTCAGAGGGGGGGGGGGAGAGATTGTCAACCACTGACCTACACAATGACGAGACAACACAAACAGAATAATCAATGACATAATACCTGACTGGGGTGACATCAACGGTGACCCAGAAGTCTTCTGCTGGAAGCCCAAAGTAAACTGCCCTCCTTGGTTGCGATTCTGCTGAAGATTCGAGTTCAGCCCCACTGAGGCAGACACTGGACTGCGCTGGTTAGAATAGTTCCTCATCATTCTCTGGGTGAAGCCTGCACTACGAGGCCCGCTACCCGGACTCGGAGTAAACCGAGGATTTTTTTGGGAGACATCGAATGATGTTACTGAGTTACTTCTCTGAGTCATGTTCAACATGGGAGGTCTTTTTATAGAACCAGGGTTGTTTCCGAGCTCGTTCTGCAGGGCATACTGCACAGGAGATGGTGCATTAGAAGATGCTGGTGATTTCAAGGATGACATAGTATCCCAGCTGGTATTTCCAGTGCCGCTACTGCCATCCAGCAATGTTGGTTTCATATCCAAGTTGTCGTCATCTGAAGCAAACAAGAAAAAAGATGGGAACAAAAATCTGGAATTCCCCCCATGTGGGTTCTGGGGCCCCATTATGGAGAACATAAGAACAGACCCAGTGCCTCCCCAACAAGCATGTCACAGAAGTCAAATAACTGGGGACTTCCTTCAGAGACAGAGCGCATCTGCCTGAGCGGCAAGGAACAATCAACTGCACACGAATAGGCCAGTCAAATGGATGTTCACAGAAAAATCAAGCCCTGGCACGAAACCAAAGTCTACCTGGATGAACAACTTGGACTTTCCGCTGGAGCTTACAGCCAGTAAACAAAGAAGAAGATTCTGGAATTTCTGTAATATGGAGAGGATGAGCAGACTGTGTCATATTTCATTTAATTTTACTCACTTATTTTTATTTCAAATAAAAAAAGTCAGTCCTTATTCTTCTGCATTCACCCATAAAACAGTGCCTGCAATGTTGTTCACAGCTAGGCTGTGGTACCTGTACGTTTTGGCCAAGCACGTCTAACTGAGCTGAGTTAAGTTGAGTCAAGAACTGACATCACAGCACTTGCGGCATTCCCATGCTTGCTTCACAGCTCTAACAATCCTGTTATCCAACAAAAAAAACCACAGGACGGTTTGCCTTTTATGGGTTATTTACAGCACTCATTTTTGTACACCAGTCGATCACCTTATCTACTGTCACCTTATCTACTGTCACCTTATCTACTGTCACCTTATCTACTGTCACCTTATCTACTGTCACCTTATCTACTGTCACCTTTTCTACTGTCACCTTTTCTACTGTCACCTTATCTACTGTCACCTTATCTACTGTCACCTTATCTACTGTCACCTTATCTACTGTCACCTTATCTACTGTCACCTGTAACTCTTGAGCTATTTGGTTGTGATCTCCAAGCATGTCTAATTTCAGCAACTTCTCAGTTGTTTGTTTTGTTTGTGTTCACCGGCTATAAACTCCAGTGGAAAGACCTGGTTGTTCATCCATTTCTGGACTTTAGTTTGTTCCAGGACCTGAGTTTTGCGCGTGCATCTGTTTTACAGATCTGACTTATTTGTATGCAGATTGCTGGTTCCTTGCCTCTGAGGCAGATGTACTCTGACTTCAAAGGAAGGCCCCCTAGTTAGTCTACTCTTACGACATGCTTCTTGAGGATGCACTGGGTCTATTCTTGTTTTCCCCCAATGAGGCCTTGGAATCCACACTGGGGTAATGGGAGCAGTAGATCCTTTATTTTTATTTATTTTTTTTAAACCAAAAATGGACCTAGAACCTACACTGAAAACATATACAAGTCTACTCCATTGGCTTCACATCCATCAACTGCAAACTCTTGTGAAAAGTCCTGGTTGTTCATCCACTCCTGGAATCTGGTCTCGAACTTGAGTTTTCATGCACATTCCTTTTACAGATCTGACTTATTTGTATATGCAGACTGTTGGTTGCGTGCCTCTCAAGCAGAGACACACCCACTTCGAAGTAAACACCCTAACTTGTTGACTCCTCTGACACACTTGTTAGGGGAGAAGTGGGTCTCACATTGGGGTCCTGGAACCCACTAAGGAAATCTGTTTTACAGATCTGACTTATCTATATGCAGACTGTTGGTTCCCTTTGAAGGACAACACCCCTAATTAGTCGCCTTCTATGACAAGACTGTTAGGTCGGCAGTGGGTTTAGTCTTTCCAAAAAGTGGGGCCCTGGTACCCGAATAGGATTTTGTTTTACAGATCTGACTTTTTTGTATGCAGACTGTTGGTTCCCTGCCTCTCAAGCAGAGACACTCTGACTTCGAGGGAAACACTCCTAATTAGTTGACTCTCCTATGGTCTGCTTGATGGGCAGGCGAGGGTCTATTTTCTTCCTTAAAAAATGGGGCCCTGAGGTCCCTACACGGAGGACTGGGAATATAAAAAGTAAACACGGGACTTTCTCATGCCACTGGCACATTAGGAATATGGTAAGACCAGAACGTTTTCCTTGCCTTTAGACACACGGGGCATATAAGGCTATACCTATATTTTATGCAGTAATCTGCACTTGACTATCTCTCAGTCCTTAAGAAAGAGAATAGGGGCTTTTGAGCTGAAATGCTATAGAAAGATTCTCAGAATATCTTGGACAAAGAAGAGAAGAAATACTGACATCCTAAAAGATCTGAACATCAAGGAATATTGGCTAATAAACAGCATCCTTTCTCGGAAGCTGAAATATTTTGGTCATATCAAGCGCCACAACGGATTGGAAAAAACTTTACCAGAAGGCATGGTACCAGGAAGGAGGGGGAGGGGCCGACCGACATGAAGATGGGCACAAGATATTAGTGACTCGTTGAGTATGAAAGTACATGAGGTGGGATAACTGGCGAGAGACAGAGTTTCTTTCAGGCAGACCGTGATGAGAGCAACGTTCTGCAAAGGACTTGCTACAGGATAATGATGAATCTGCACTTGGAGCGGGGGAAAAGGGGGAGAGTGATGTAGTCAACATCACACTAGCTGCCTTTAATTGCAAGACCTTGACCTAGTACCCATCTAAGGCTGCGCTGACCTGGAAGTCATTTTTTTTTTATTCGACTCCATCAGGACCTAAACCCACGACCTTCGGATTCGCAGGTGAGTGTCTTCTAGCCACACCATGGCAGCTTCCTAAGTATGTGATGCTACATCTATATCTTTACAGACCAACATGCATTCAACTGGTGAGGTAGTGATCATCACACTATCCGCCTTTTCCTCCCAGGACATTTCTTGGCAGCAATTTTACACTGGCAACCTGGCAGCCCAGGTTTATGTTTAAAATCTGCCTCAATGTCAGAAAGTAAAACATTACATTTTAAAACAGAAGTAAAGAGACTCTTCCCATGCCTTCAGGTACACTAGTCACATAGGGCTAGACCTATATTTTATAGACCAATCAGCACTTGGTGGGTGATGTGGTCAGCATCATGCCGGCCGCCTTACTTTACGTGCGCGCGTGTGCATGTGTGCGTGCGTGTGTGTGTGTGTTTCTGTGTGTGTGTGTGTGTCTGTGTGTATTATGTATGTATGTATGTATGTGTGTGTGCGTGCATGCGTGCGTGCATGCGTGCGTGCATGCATGCATGTATGTATGTATGCATGTAAATGTAAATGTGTGGTTGTGGGCATATGTGGGTGTCTGTACATATGATTGTATGTGTGTGTATGCATGCATGCATGTGTAGGTGTGTATGTATGGAATGAATGTGTGCATGTATGTCAATATGTGTATGTGTGTGTCTTTTCTGTTTGTGTATGTATGTATGTAGATGCGTGTATGTATGTATTAGGTATGTCTGTATATGAATGTGCATGTATGAGAATGTAAGAGTGTGTGTGTGAGTGTGTAAGATTGTGTACACATGATGTGTGTATGCATTATTTTATAATGCATATTTCTTTATTATATCCATAACATGCATTATTGATGACAGGCATTGGTACTCTGAAAAACGAGTGCTTAGAAGGGCCAAATGTCAGACGGGCCTGCGTGCCCAATTTGTAACCCTTTGAAAATAAAGTTTGTTTGTTCGTTCATTCGTACTTCCCAGTTTGTACTTGGTACCTACACAAGGATCTGGCAGTCAATGTCAATTTATTTATTTTTTTCTTAAGTCTGGCTCCGACAGAACTCAAACCCATGACCTGGTGACTGTAGACCATGAGAGGTCCTGGAGGGGCATATGTTCAACCCAGCTATATTTAACTGGATTTACTTTATAAATTCTTTTTCTTCTTCTTCTCCTCCTTGTTCGCCTGCTGTAAACTCCAGCAGAAAGTTACAGGTGTTCGTCCACCTCCGGACTTCTGTCTTCTTCCAGAACCTAAGTGTTGCATACACATCCGTTTCACAAGTCTGGCTTATTTGTATGCAGACTCTTGGTTTCTTGCCTCCTAGGTAGATCTACCCGACTTCAAAGAATGCCCCCAATTCACTGTCTCCTAGGACATGCTTGTTGGGGAGGCATTTGGCCTATTCTTGTTTTCCCCACAATGGAACCCCTAAACCCACATGACAAATTTAATTAATTATTAATTAATTTATATATTTAACTTCTTTTTTTTTTGTTTTGTATTTTCTGTGTATTTAATTTTATTAATTCTTCTTCATCTTGTTATTCTTGTTCACCTGCTACAAACTTCACTCTTTTTTTGTTTTTTAAACGCTTTGTTTCTTATTTTGTTTCGCAATAGAGCCATTTCAGTTCCACACTTTTCCCCCATTATATATTTTTTAGTTTTATGCTGATCTTTGTTGTTTAGAAGCTCTGTTGTCTTGTCCATTGAGTTTTTCAGTCACCATCTTGTTATATTTAGTACTCCACTGATTAGGACTTTGGCCAAAGCATTTGGTTTTATTTGTTTTTTTTTTATTACCCTCCGTTAAACTTTCTAGTCACATTTTCTGCTGTATTCAGAACTTAGCCCATGCCCACCAGAACAGCAGACCTAAGAAGTCAGGGAGGAGCGACAAATGAAGTGGCCAGCAAGCAGTTCAACAAAGGCAAACCAGAAAAGAGTTGAGTTGATTCAAGAACTGACATCACAGCATTTGGGGCATACCCATAAGCACTCTGTCCCCATCTTCAGTAGCCAGTGAAGAGTTCCAATACTAATGGTGCCAGTAGCATTCTGATTAAACGTCCATCTTGCCTTTCCTCTGAGCCTCAGGCGTCTGCCAGAACCTCTCATCCCTCCCCGCTGCATCAATCTCACCAGACTGTGGTGATCCATCTGCTCCTCCGAACTGTACACGCTCTCCCACAAGGCACTAACCACATCTGTCTTATCATGCATCAGTATTCAACCAAGTTGTGCAGAGCCAGCCAGTCTGTCTGCCTGTTCATTTCCCAACACACAGGCATGACCAAGTGAAAAATTCCAGACAATATAGCTCACCCATGTTCTCCGCAGTAAAGCTTGCCACTCTGCACGAAGCATGCCTGTCCTGACCTTCCTCAGCATGCTTTCTGAATCAGTTACAATCACCATGTGTGTGTGTGTGTGTGTCGTGTTCTCTAACCAGCAGAAAGCTTCAGTGACCGCTTCCACCTCCATTCTTAAGCTGGATGTTGTGGTATCATATGCTAGGCTCTCCTGCACCAAATGTCGACCACTAACCTTTGCTAAGAAACCCCAAGCACTTCTTTTGCCTCTTGACACTGAACCGTCTGTGTAAATGATCAAATCCTCTGATTGAGCATTATCTTGAATTAATTGCTGAATTTCCACCTCCGTCGCCCGAGCTACGGAGCACGTGCTCTGCACTCGACACAAACCAAAAAAGACCACAAAATGAATTCCAATTCCCTTGTCTAAAGCATTCCATGACAAGATTGGTCTTATCAGACACCTAGGTACCAGAATGCCCCACTCTAGCTAGCAGATGAAAAGAACAGCCATCTGTGAAAAGAAAAGCCATCTGTGAAAAGAACAGCCATCTGTGAAAAGAACAGCCATCTGTGAAAAGAACAGCCATTTGTGATGGATAAACAACAGTGAAGTAAAATCAAAGTTACATACTTGAGCTGTTGCCGAAAAGGTCACCCCATTCTGCCAAAGCATCCAGGTCTGAACTAGATTGATCAGTCAATCCCATACCTCCACTTATGTTTAAATGAGGGAGGGAAACAGCTGGGGCAGACGACTGATGGGACTGGAAACTGCCCAAACTGGCTGGAACACCTCGATTCACTGAGTGACCAATGAGGGAACTTGTTGATGTTGACCCTCGGAGCTCAAGGTCAGAGTCGCATTCACTGTGGAAATTCAACACTGATGTTGGCGTTTTTATTCAAAATATGTACAGAATTCAAAATAAGGATGATCAATTTTTTCATCATCATCTCTCTCTCTCTCTCTCTCTCTCTCTCTCTCTCTCTCTCTCTCTCTCTCTCTCTCCCCTCTCTCTCTCTCTCACTTCACTCTCTCTCTCCCCTCTCTCCCCCCTCTCTCTCTCTCATACACTGAACACAGGAAGTCAATCATGACAGACAATCATGTACACAGAAGCGCCAAACACATATAGAACCATGCACCATGGAGAGATATTCCACAGAACACAACCTTTCTTTTCCCTAGACAAAAAGTACCGATATTCACCTCAAAGTATCTTTTAAAAAAATGAGGGTGCTCATCACAAAGTGTATAAACAAGTATCAGTACTCATACCAAAGTGTCTAAAACAAGGTACTGGTGCTGATCACGGTGTGTCTAAACAAAACTGCCATAGAGAGACACAGCACATAGAGAGATAGTAGAGAGAGATATAGCACACAAAGATATAGCACAGAGAGATATAACAGAGAGAGATATAGCACAGACAGATGCAACACACATAGAGATAGCACGCAAAGATATAGCACAGAGAGATATAACATAGAGAGATATAACACAGACAGATACAACACATAGTGAGATAGCACAAAAAGATATAGCACAGAGAGATATAACAGATATAGACATAGCACAGAGAGATACAGCATAGAGATACAGCACACAGAGAAATAAATAGCACAGAGAGAAATAGCAGAGAGATCGAGCACATTTATAGCACATAGATACAGCACAGAGAAAGATACCACAGAGAGATTTAGCACAGATAGATACAGCACAGACAGACATAGCACAGAGATATAGCATAGAGAGATACAGTACAGAGATATACACACAGAGAGATATACCACACAGAGATATACCAAAAAGAGCTGCAGCACAGAGTGATATAGCATAGAGAGATATAGAACAGCGAGATATTTTACACAGAGATACAGCACAGATGTATAGCACAGAGAGACAGTGCAGAGAGATATAGCACAGAGATTTACCACAGAGATATAGCCTATAGAGATACAGCATAGAGAGATATCGCATGAAGAGATATAGCATGGACATACATGGCAGAGTTATATAGCATGGAGAGAGATATAGCAAAATAAATATACCACAGAGAGATATAGCATGGAGAGATATCCAACAGAGAGAGATACCACAAAGAGAATAGCACACAGATATATAGCATGGATAGATACAGCATGGATAGAAACAGTAATGTAGCAACAGAAAGATGTAGCACAGATAATATATAGCACAATGAGATATACCACAGAGAGATAGCAAAGAGAGAGATACAAAAAAAGAGATACCACAGAGAGATATAGCAAAAGAGAGATATAGCAAAAGAGAGATATAGCAACAGAAAGTTGAACAAAACAAGACAGACAAAGAGCTTCACAAACCAGACTGTAGACAGAAGAACGAACATGAATACAGAGCATCTGTTGTAAGCCAGATGGACACAAACTAGAAATACTAATGAACATACAATTATTCACATTCATATGTGGAGATATTCAGTAAAGGAGGAACAGCTGCGTTAGTTATGATGATTAGTGTTCCAAAGGAATTCTAAAACAGGACAGTTTAGGGGTCTTTCGACAGTATTAGTTTTTTTTTTTTTTTTTTTATATCCAGAAACCATGAGTTGTTAACCCTTTGGCTTGGTACTATGCATATCGCAACCCTTCGGTCTTGATTCCATGATAGGTACTGTAAATCTGGGAGAAATGTGGCTTTTCTGCCTACCCCCCGGGAGTGAACCCGGACCACAAGAAGTTCGTCACCCGGTCACCCCGACGTCAGGTTTGACCAACTTCGCTAGAGAGCCGGGCATGACAGTATTAGTAAAATCCGATACAATTCTCTTCTTATTCTTTTTCCTCTTCAGCCGGGCTCTTAAAGGCTTTATTTAATAATGCATTTTTAAAAAATTTTTAAATATTGTATGTTAGTTGTGTATCCTTTACAGGATTTTGCAGAAGCAACCTCAGCATTTTTTGGATGTTGTGGTTTTTCTAGGCAAATTTTACGTTTGGTAGTTTGCCACTCATGGGAAGTAAAGGTGGCCGGCATGTTGCTGACCACATCACCCATCTTGTGCCAACTGGCCTATAAAAATATAGGTCTAGCCCTATATGCCCTATACGCCTAAAGGCGTGGAAAAGGGACCTTTACTTTATTATTATTATTATTATTATTTTAGTTTGCCACTGCTTTCTGACACGTCTGTACTATTTTCAAAACCAATGCAAGACAAATCATCGGCAGCTGGAATCGAACCCGGCCATTACAAAGTATGTGCACAATGTCTAATCCACAGAGACCAATGACAGAAGAATAGGGCAGATGTAATTTAGAAACCCAAGTCTGTTGCTGAACACCTGATAAAAACATGGTGTATTTCCTGGTGCTGAAGAGTTCCAGTTCTTACCGTATAACCGTGTGAACAGACACGATGAATTCAGGTTCCCCTGTCACATGGTTGTTGAATAGCTTACTCTTTGTCTGTACAAGTACGTAGCGGTTTTCAACCACCTTGAACCGGTAAACTCCACTGGTGCTATTACCATTCTTTAGAACTGTAAGTAAAACAAATAATTAAAGATTCATAAAAAAATTTGTTTAAAAATTATTATTTTTATAGTATCATAAAACAAATCTTCTTCTTCTTCATGTTCACTGGCTGAAAGTTTTGATTGTTCATCCACTTCTGGACTTTAGTCTTGTTTTGAGTCAATGTCTTTATCAATTTAAAAAAAAAGTAGTGAAGTAAAGGACCCTTATTCACGCCTCTTTTCTTATAAGGGCATATAGGGCTAGACCTATATTTTTTAGACCAATCGGCACAAGATAGGTGTTTTGGTCAGCATCACGCCGGCCGCCTTTACTTCCCTGTGGGCACCCGATACCCACTCAAAGCTGGATCGACCTGGGAGCCAAGGTCATTTCTGAAAAAAGTCTGGCTCGTCTTTATCAATGAAGTAGCAAATTAAACACAAACTGTGACTGCAAGACTCAACAGACAAGACAACAGACAAGACAACAGACAAGACAACAGACAAGACAACAGACAAGACAACAGACAAGACAACAGACAAGACAACAGACAAGACAACAGACAAGACAACAGACAAGACAACAGACAAGACAACAGACAAGACAACAGACAAGACAACAGACAAGACAACAGACAAGACAACAGACAAGACAACAGACAAGACAACAGACAAGACAACAGACAAGACAACAGACAAGACAACAGACAAGACAACAGACAAGACGACAGACAAGACGACAGACAAGACGACAGACAAGACGACAGACAAGACGACAGACAAGACGACAGACAAGACGACAGACAAGACGACAGACAAGACGACAGACAAGACGACAGACAAGACGACAGACAAGACGACAGACAAGACGACAGACAAGACAACAGACAAGACAACAGACAAGACAACAGACAAGACAACAGACAAGACAACAGACAAGACAACAGACAAGACAACAGACAAGACAACAGACAAGCAAGACAACAGACAAGACAACAGACAAGACAACAGACAAGACAACAGACAAGACAACAGACAAGACAACAGACAAGACAACAGACAAGACAACAGACAAGACAACAGACAAGACAACAGACAAAAGACAACAGACAAGACAACAGACAAGACAACAGACAAGACAACAGACAAGACAACAGACAAGACAACAGACAAGACAACAGACAAGACAACAGACAAGACAACAGACAAGACAACAGACAAGACAACAGACAAGACAACAGACAAGACAACAGACAAGACAACAGACAAGACAACAGACAAGACAACAGACAAGACAACAGACAAGACAACAGACAAGACAACAGACAAGACAACAGACAAGACAACAGACAAGACAACAGACAAGACAACAGACAAGACAACAGACAAGACAACAGACAGACAACAGACAAACAGACAAGACAACAGACAAGACAACAGACAAGACAACAGACAAGACAACAGACAAGACAACAGACAAGACAACAGACAAGACAACAGACAAGACAACAGACAAGACAACAGACAAGACAACAGACAAGACAACAGACAAGACAACAGACAAAGACAAACAGACAAGACAACAGACAAGACAACAGACAAGACAACAGACAAGACAACAGACAAGACAACAGACAAGACAACAGACAAGACAACAGACAAGACAACAGACAAGACAACAGACAAGACAACAGACAAGACAACAGACAAGACAACAGACAAGACAACAGACAAGACAACAGACAAGACAAACAGACAAGACAACAGACAAGACAACAGACAAGACAACAGACAAGACAACAGACAAGACAACAGACAAGACAACAGACAAGACAACAGACAAGACAACAGACAAGACAACAGACAAGACAACAGACAGACAAAGACAAGACAACAGACAAGACAACAGACAAGACAACAGACAAGACAACAGACAAGACAACAGACAAGACAACAGACAAGACAACAGACAAGACAACAGACAAGACAACAGACAAGACAACAGACAAGACAACAGACAAGACAACAGACAAGACAACAGACAAGACAACAGACAAGACAACAGACAAGACAACAGACAAGACAACAGACAAGACAACAGACAAGACAACAGACAAGACAACAAGACAAGACAACAGACAAGACAACAGACAAGACAACAGACAAGACAACAGACAAGACAACAGACAAGACAACAGACAAGACAACAGACAACAAAGACAACAGACAAGACAACAGACAAGACAACAGACAAGACAACAGACAAGACAACAGACAAGACAACAGACAAGACACAGACAAGACAACAGACAAGACAACAGACAGAGACAACAGACAAGACAACAGACAAGACAACAGACAAGACAACAGACAAGACAACAGACAAGACAACAGACAAGACAACAGACAAGACAAACAGACAAGACAACAGACAAGACAACAGACAAGAAAACAGACAAGACAACAGACAACAGACAAGACAACAGACAAGACAACAGACAAGACAACAGACAAGACAACAGACAAGACAAAACAGACAAGACAACAGACAAGACAACAGACAAGACAACAGACAAGACAACAACAGACAGACAAGACAACAGACAAGACAACAGACAAGACAACAGACAAGACAACAGACAAGACAACAGACAAGACAACAGACAAGACAACAGACAAGACAACAGACAAGACAAACAGACAAGACAAACAGACAAGACAACAGACAAGACAACAGACAAGACAACAGACAAGACAACAGACAAGACAACAGACAAGACAACAGACAAGACAACAGACAAGACAACAGACAAGACAACAGACAAGACAAGACAGACAAGACAACAGACAAGACAACAGACAAGACAAACAGACAAGACAACAGACAAGACAACAGACAAGACAACAGACAAGACAACAGACAAGACAACAGACAAGACAACAGACAAGACAACAGACAAGACAACAGACAAGACAACAGACAAGACAACAGACAAGACAACAGACAAGACAACAGACAAGACAACAGACAAGACAACAGACAAGACAACAGACAAGACAACAGACAAGACAACAGACAAGACAACAGACAAGACAACAGACAAGACAACAGACAAGACAACAACAAGACAACAGACAAGACAACAGACAAGACAACAGACAAGACAACAGACAAGACAACAGACAAGACAACAGACAAGACAACAGACAAGACAACAAGAGACAAGACAACAGACAAGACAACAGACAAGACAACAGACAAGACAACAACAAGACAACAGACAAGACAACAGACAAGACAACAGACAAGACAACAGACAAGACAACAGACAAGACAACAGACAAGACAACAGACAAGACAACAGACAAGACAACAGACAAGACAACAGACAAGACAACAGACAAGACAACAGACAAGACAACAGAGCTTGTAAACAACTAACCAAGGCCAACATCAAACTAAGAGAAAAGTAACAGGCACAAATCTGGACAGGTAGGACTACATTACAAAATGAAATAGGTGAGAGAGATCTGGAAGAAATAAAAACAAGTTTAAATAAAAAAAATCTTATCATGCCTTCGGCATAGAGGGTTAGACAAATCGCGTCACCATCTTCTGGGTCTGTCTGAGTAAGTAAAGTAAAGATCCCTATACACGCCCTTAGGCGCATCGGGCATATGGGAAGAGCACCCATATTTTTACAGACCAATCGGCACTCGGTGGGTAATGTGGTCAGCATTACGCCGGCTGTCTTTACTTTCCCAGGACAGCCCATCCTGGTACCCATTTGAGGCTGGGTCGACCTGCGACGCTCCATACCACGATAAAAATCCACGCAGCCCGCAGTGGGTTTCGATCGCGGTACGTTGGATTACGAGTCAGACTCGCAATGCCTTAGCCACGGACGCGGCTCTGTCTGAGTACAGGCACACAAAAACAATCATCATCATAAACCACTTCTGTCGTAAGCGTCGTGGGGAGGAATAATTTGCGATCAAGTGCACGTTGGCTGCCACTGGCTATTGTCATGCCGTTAAGGCGTAGAGTGTCTTTAATGGTGTCGATCCATGTTTTCCGCGGCCGTCCTCTTGCTCTTGTAGTTGATCTTCTGAGATGTAGTGCTTGTGATGGTATTTGATCTTGCTGCATTCTAACAAGATGGCCAAACCACTTAATCTGCTGTTTCTCGGTGAATCTAATACAAGGTGTCGTTCCCACAAATTGCCTGATAGTTTCATTATTCACTCGATCTCGGATGGTTAGGTTGGCTGCTTTTCTCAGGCACATCGTCTCGCAGGTGATGATTTTGCGTATATGGGCTTTAGATAGTGTCCATGTTTGGCACTGGTAGCTTAATGCTGGAATGAATATGCTGTTTATAATCTGTCTCTTTGCACTCATAGTTATGCTTGGATGTCTTAATAATGGTGACAATTGGTATATAAGTGCACTTGCTTTCTGACATATGGTTTCTATTTCTCTGTCAATTCTACCATCTTCTATGATCATACTTCCTAGATATTTAAACTCCCTAACTTGATTCAGGGCAGAACCATTCAGCCGTATGTGTAGTGGGGCAGGGGTTTTACTAACTTGCATTGTTTCGGTTTTGTTTACATTGATCTTCATGTTGTATTGACTACATGCTGAGTTTAACAGGCAAAAATCTGGACAGCAAGGGCTACATAACAAAATGAAATAGGTGAGAGAGATCTGGAAGAAATTTTTTTAAAAGTTTTTTTTTTTAATCTTATCATGCCTTCGGCATAGAGGGTTAGACAAATCGCTTCACCCTCTTCTGAGTCGGTCTAAGTACAGGCACATAAAAACAATGCCTTAAACAAAAACTACAACAGAACTTACCGTCTTGAGTATGCCTCTTAAGCTGCTGCACATCAGTGGCATGACAGAAGTCTGTTATAAAGGCCCCTTCAAGGTTCAACATGCCATGGCTGTGAGAGAGTTAATCCAGATTAGGGTTTATGCTAGAAAATCACAGGGTGCTATTTCTGTTATATCTGGCTTCATACAACAAGAGTATATTATGCTAGACAATTTACTTTTGTAGGGACTGCATTTTCTCTGTTTTTGTTAGTCACGCTCCTTCCTTCCCCCCTCCACCCAGTTCTCTCTCTCTCTCTCTCTCTCTCTCTCTCTCTCTCTCTCTCTCTCTCTCTCTCTCTCTCTCTCTCTCTCTCTCTCTCTCTCTCTCTCTCTCTCTCTCTCTCTCTCTCTCTCTCTCTCTCTCTCTGTGTGTTATAAGAACGTTAAAAAATTAAAAAATAACTGCAGTATCAAAGATTAGTGTTTAAAAGAGTCGCATGTGAGACAGGCCTGTGTGCCCAAAGTGTGACCCTTTGAAAATAAAGTGTGCTTCTTCTCTCTCTCTCTCTCTCTCTTGTGTGCATGTGTGTGAAAGAGAGAAACAGAGAGAGAGAGAGAGAGAGAGAGAGAGAGAGACTATCACGTGACAAACTTCATTCAAGCATGACTTGTAAGTGAAACTGGGCCAAACAACCAAACACATCTACGCTGTCTAAAATCAAGAAAGGAGACATTATAACCAACTTCTCAGGGAAACTGCCAGTAGGACTACCTTGGGATGGATGCAGATTTGAAGGAATAAGTAGATGGAAAAGATGGAGAAGACAATGGGTGACCAGTATGTGATGGCAAAGGACAGGATGATTTGGCATGAGAAGGTTGTGGGCAGGTGCTTTTTTCTTTGTGACCAACGTGGTGGTGTGAATTGTAGATTCAGAAAATGGCGCGATGCCTGTCGTTCAATGCTTGCGGGACCCGTATTAAAATTGATCACGCGGACAACTGCTGATCTGTTGACAACAAGTTCTGCTATCATCAATGATGAACTGCATTTCTATTGTCGGACTGTTTGTGTTAGCACTTCGGATGGCTACCATATGCTTTGATGCGAGTGTATGCTAGATATGCTGAGACAGCAGTCTGTCAATCTTTCCACAAGGGACTGTGATAGACATTCTGAGTGTTGTTCGCTGGCACAGGAGCGGAGCAAAGATGGGGCAACCCGTTTGCTATGAAGCTGAAACTAAGACTACCAGACTACCAGACTACCAGTCTTTTTGAGAGTTAAGGAAAAAAGGATTCTTTCCCCTCCTCTATCTAACTGCCTTATGGGTAAAACTCTGACAATTAAGGATGAGGTATTAACCATTCATAAACGGACCAGAATCTTCAACAACAACAACAAAACAGGAAAATGAACAAATTTCCCAAATAAACTGTTATCAGACACCTCAAGCAAAAAGCAGACTAAATCAAAATTAATTTATAATTAGGCTTCATTTTTTGCAAATAACAAACCTAATATCTGCTTTGATAATTTTCCCATTTAAATCTTGCTTAGTAGAGAATTGACTGACACCTCCAATCATCATATTGTTCTTCTCATTCATAGGCAGACGTCTGGCTATGCATAAAAGGCATGTTTGATCTTCTGCAAAAAGAAACAAATATTAATGGATGAATAAAAGATTTCTTCAGTGAACAGTATCGACTAAATCTATGCTTCTGTGATTAGTATCAACTAAATCTATGCTTCAGTGATTAGTATCAACTAAATCTATGCTTCTGTGATTAGTATCAACTAAATCTATGAATCTGTGATTAGTATCAACTAAATCTATGCTTCTGTGATTAGTATTAACTAAATCTATGCTTCTGTGATTAGTATCAACTAAATCTATGCTTCTGTGATTAGTATCAACTAAATCTATGCTTCTGTGATTAGTATCAACTAAATCTATGCTTCTGTGATTAGTATCAACTAAATCTATGCTTCTGTGATTAGTATTAACTAAATCTATGCTTCTGTGATTAGTATCAACTAAATCTATGCTTCTGTGATTAGTATCAACTAAATCTATGCTTCTGTGATTAGTATCAACTAAATCTATGCTTCTGTGATTAGTATCAACTAAATCTATGCTTCTGTGATTAGTATCAACTAAATCTATGCTTCTGTGATTAGTATCAACTAAATCTATGCTTCTGTGATTAGTATCAACTAAATCTATGCTTCTGTGATTAGTATCAACTAAATCTGTTTTTCAATCAGCAGTATCGACTAAATCTATGCTTCTGTGATTAGTATAAACTAAATCTGTTTTTCAATTAGCAGTATCGACTAAATCTATGCTTCTGTGATTAGTATCAACTAAATCTGTTTTTCAATCAGCAGTATCGACTAAATCTATGCTTCTCTGATCAGTATCAATAAAATTTTAAAAAATAACTTGTTGACTAAATCAAATGTTCTGTGAATAGTCACAAATAATGGACACTTGAACCTATTCTTCCATGAAAAGTAACAAACATTACATAACTCTACTAGTCTGCAAGAAATAATAATAAACATAACTAGCTGACTAAATACTTCTGTGAAAAGCAACAAATATTACTAGATGCCTAAATCAATAACTATGTGAATAGTAACAAAAATAAGAGATTATAAAATCAACACCTCTGTAAAAAGTAATAAGTATCAATAGTTTACCTTCTCCTTCTTCTGCAGGCTGCCTTAAAAAAATTTACTGACACACTGTATTGTGGTTTACAGCTAGACTGTGATAGATGTGCCTTTTGGCCCAACACATCAAATTTCAGCAAATCCTTAATTAGCAGCCTTTTGTGATATGCTAGTTAATGAGCAGTAGGTCAGATCTTTTTGTCCTCGCGCACCCCCAAAAATGGTGGCCAGAACCAAAATGGGGAACTAGCTGACTAAATGTTTACTTCCGTCAATAATAACAAATACTGTTTGTTGCCTAAATTATAAACTTCATCCAACAGTAACAAATTTTAGTAAACTAACTCTGCTTATCAGTGATAAATAAAAAATAACACTAACTGAATAAATATATTCTTCCGTGAGAAGTAACAAAACATTAGTTAATTAAACTGTGATAGTGAGCGAGCATGCATGTATATATATACGCGCGCGCGTGCGTGTGTGCATGCGTGCGTGTGTGTGTGTGTGTGTGTTGAAGGGGGCTTGGGGGGAGGGGGGAGAGGTGTCTCATATATCTTCATCTTTTTCTTGTTTACCAGCTGTAAACTCTAGTGAAAAGTTCTGGTTGATTGTCTGCCTCTGGACTGTAGGCATGTTCCAGAAACTGATTGTTGTGTGCACATCCGTTTTACAGATCGGTCTCGTTTGTAGGCAGACTATTCATTCTTTGCCTCTCAGGCAGATGCACTCAGACTTCAAAGAAAGCTCCCAATATGTCAACTCTTACTACACCCTTTTGGGTAGGCAGTGGGTCTATTCTTGTTTTTCACACAGTAGGGCCCCAGAACCCACAGGGGGAGTCCTATATATGAAGACAGTACAACTGATACCTCTGGAGTGTGAGTTAAACTGTTGGTCACTCAGTTTCTGGGTCAAACTGGACTGGAAAATAGCTGTGATTTGCATGTTCTCATACTGAGACACATAGGTTTGTTTCACTTCAACGTCATCTTTTTCTTCAACTGTGGAGGTAAAGATGCACAATGACTTAAAAATCATGCTCTTCAGCTGTGATGGAAATAAAAATCTGTTACTAAAATGGTGTTCTTTAACTATGGAGGTAATAAACACACACTGATAAAACTCATGTTCTTCAACTGAGGAGGTAATAAATATACACTGACCAAACAAATTATGTTCTTCTACTGTGGAGGTAATAAAAATACACTGACCCCAAAAATGTTTTTTTTTTATCTGTGGAGGTAATAAATATACAATGACGCAAAAAAAATCATGTTTTCGACGGTTGAGGTAATAAATATACATTGACCCCCCCCCCCCCAAGAAAATCATGTTCTTTAACTGTGGAGGTAATAAATATACACTGACCAAACAAATTATGTTCTTCTACTGTGGAGGTAATAAAAATACACTGACCCCAAAAATGTTTTTTTTTATCTGTGGAGGTAATAAATATACGATGACGCAAAAAAAAATCATGTTTTCGACGGTTGAGGTAATAAATATACATTGACCCCCCCGCCCCCCCAGAAAATCATGTTCTTCAACTGTGGAGGTAATAAATATATGCTGACCAAAATCTGTTCTTCAACTGTGGAGGTAATAAATGTATTACTGACCACACACAAAAATCACATTCTTCTAATGTGGAGGTAATAAATGCATACTAACCAAAAAATTCATGTTCGTCAACTATGGAGGTAATAAGTGCACATTTACTAAAAACAATAAACTATTAAATTAACTGATTAAAAGAATCATGTTTCTCAACTATAGAGATAATAAACTAAAAGGTTTCTAAAAAAAACATGTTGTTTAACTTTGGAGATTATAAACTACACTGTATAAAGAACTATGTTTTTCAATCGAAAATAAAATAAAGGACATGGAACCAAGACTAGTAACCCATATTAATAAATCCTTGGCAAACAGCTGATCTAGATACACCTAATCAATTATTGGTGGTGCCCTTATGTGATTAAAATTGATTGCGTGTGCAACTGCTGATTTGTTGGTTTGTTGGTGACTGCTACTATCAATGATGAACTGCATTTCTAATGTCGGACTGTTTGTGTTAGCAATTTAGATGGCTACCGTATGCTGAGACAGCAGTCTGTCAATCTTTCCACAAAGGACTGTGAAAAACATCATGCGTGTTTTTCGTTGGCACTGGAGCAGAGCAACGATGGGGTGACTACCAGACACCCAATAAATAACAAATAACAACAACAACAACATACCTGGTGGTTTAATAAGCATGCGGCACTGGAAGTTGCATCCTCTTGTTGTCGGGGAGTCACTAGGCCATGCTAATCCACTGGCTGGGAACATAAGAAAACACAATATGTGATGATGTGGAAAAAGCAAGGACAAAACAGAGCAATAATGAGGGAGTCAGAAAAGGAAAGAAGTCTAGAATGAATAAAGCTGTTTAACAAAAAAATTAAATCTATCAACGAGTAGACCAGGTTATGATGGGAATGAGATATAAAAAAAAAGTAAAGGTCCCTTTTCCAGACCTTCAGGTGTATTGGGCATATAGGGCTAGACCTATGTTTTATTGACCAACTTGGTGGATGATGTAGTCAGCATCATGCCGGCCGCCTTTACTTCCCAGGTCTGCCCCTGGTACCCACTCAAGGCTGGGTCAACCTGGGAGCCAAAGTCATTTTCCTAGAGAGTCCGGCTCCAGCAGGATCTGAACCCATGAACTTCTGATCTGCAGGCATGGGTCTAGCTGCTACACCACACCAGCTCCCGGGAATGAGATGAGCACGTTGAATTTCAACAGGACCATTAGGAAAGGTCAAATGGAAACTCAAAAAAAATGGAAACTCAAAAAGAGTAGCCTAACTGCGCTGCCTGGAGTTATAAATCTACCCAAAGTATTTTAGGATCTTCGCCGGTTCTACAGAGCAGGTGCACTGTGCTGAGCCTCTTCAGACTCAGACTTGAATTAGAAGAAGAACGGAGCACTTATGGGTTACTACCCGTGTGCCATGATGTTGATTCGTTGTTCAAACTTCAAACTTCAAATGGAGACATTGATAAGAATATGAGATGGCCGGTGGTGTATATTTCGTTGGCAAAAAAAAAAGTAAAGGCAAAATAAAAAGGAGGATGAGGAAGAAACAGAAGAGGAAGATGGATGAGAAAGAAAAAAAAGGAGGACACAGAAGTTCAACTTACTCAGCGTCATAGGCAACAGGCTGTTGGTGAACTGTGTGTGGTCACCTACATGAATGATGTTGTAGATACTCTTGCCAGCTAGTTCATCCTGTTGAAAAGGTAAGGTAAAGTAAAGGGATGGAAAGAGTTAAGTGAAGTACAGGGTTGGAAAGAGTTAATTGAAATAAAGGGATGGAAAGAGTTAAGTAAAGTAAGGGGTTGGAAAGAGTTAAGTGAAGTAAAGGGATGGAAAGAGTTAATTGAAGTAAAGGGATGGAAAGAGTTAAGTAAAGTAAGGGGTTGGAAAGAGTTAAGTGAAGTACAGGGATGGAAAGAGTTAAGTAAAGTAAGGGGTTGGAAAGAGTTAAGTGAAGTAAAGGGATGGAAAGAGTTAAGTAAAGTAAGGGGTTGGAAAGAGTTAAGTGAAGTACAGGGATGGAAAGAGTTAAGTGAAGTAAAGGGATGGAAAGAGTTAAGTGAAGTAAAGGGATGGAAAGAGTTAAGTGAAGTAAAGAGATGGAAAGAGTTAATTGAAGTAAAGGGATGGAAAGAGTTAAGTGAAGTAAAGGGATGGAAAGAGTTAAGTGAAGTAAAGAGATGGAAAGAGTTAATTGAAGTAAAGGGATGGAAAGAGTTAATTGAAGTAAAGGGATGGAAAGAGTTAAGTGAAGTAAAGGGATGGAAAGAGTTAAGTGAAGTAAAGGGATGGAAAGAGTTAAGTAAAGTAAGGGGTTGGAAAGAGTTAAGTAAAGGGATGGAAAGAGTTAAGTGAAGTAAAGGGATGGAAAAAGTAAAGTAAAGGAATGGAAAGAGTTAAGTTAAGTAAAGTAAAGAGATGGAAAGAGTTAAGTAAAGTAAAGGGATGGAAAGAGTTAAGTAAAGTAAAGGGATGGAAAGAGTTAAGTAAAGTAAAGGGATGGAAAGAGTTAAGTAAAGTAAAGGGATGGAAAGAGTTGAGTAAAGGGATAAAAAGAGTAAAGTGACAGAAAAAGTAAAGTGACAGAAAGAGTAAAGTAAAGTGATAGAGTAGAGTAAAGGGATAGAAAGAGTAAAGTAAAGGGATAAAAACATTAAAGTAATGTGACCTAAAGAGTAAAGTAAAGTACAGGGAAAACAAAAGTGACAGAAAGAGTAAAGTGAAGTAAAGTGATAGAAAGAGTAAAGTAAAGGGATAGAAAGAGTCGAGTAAAATTACCAAAGAATTTACCTTTTTATTATCTCAGAGAAAATCCCCTCCCCCCTCCCCCCTTTTAACAACCATGTTGTAAAAGTTGACTAACAAATAAGCCAGATCTATAAAACAGATAAGCATGCAAAATTCAAGTTCTGGAACAAGACTAAAGTCTAGAAGTGGATGAACCACCAGAACTTTCCACCAGAGTTTACACCTGGTGAATGTGAGAAGAGAAGAAGAAGATCCACCAAAAATAGGATTCCGGGGCACCCGCAGTTAGAATCCACCTCTGGACCAATATATCACTAGCAACCTCATACACCACAACAACAAGTTATACCTGGGTATACTTGAGAAACTGTGTTACATTCTCTGAGATGAACTCAACTTTGCCTTGGCTGTTTACCACGAAGAGAAATCCATTTAATGCCTGCAGATGAGCCCAATACACAAACAATGAATGGATGATTCTCAAACAGACACACAGTTTATGACCATCATCATCATCTTCATTGCCATCTTGATCCCCATCATCTCCATCAACATATCCATCCTCAACACCATCATTATTATCAACATTATGATCATCATCATCTTCATATTCACAATCATCAACATCATCATCATCATTACCACCATCATCAACATCATCATAAAACGGGTCCTTACAGGGGTGCCTGAACCTGAAGGGCTAAAGTACATAAAGTTCCCCAACCCCTTCCCCCCCCCCCCCTCAGAATTATTCTTATGGGTGGGGGCTGAGCTTCATCTGCTCCTCCCAAGAAGAAGAGCAAGGGGGCTAAGTACATCATCTCCCTCCCCCTCCCCCCTTCTCTCTCTCTTTTGTCTTAGTGCTTAGGGCATTAAAAATCCTCAAGCTGGCCCTGGTTGTAATGCGATGCGTGCCCCACTGCCCCATGATCCACGAAAACGATCAACCAGCAACGAAAAAGCCTACAACAGTTCGGCAGGAGTTAGGCTCAGCCCCTATGAATAAAGAGTAGAAGACAGATAAGAGTTACATCTCTTGGTAACAGAAGGCCCAGCAGAACATTTCCAAGGGTGATGATAGTCACAATCAGTAAAAAGAGCAACAAAATAATTATCACAGACGCAGCAGCACTTATACTAAATAGGGTATTAATTTAACAAGCCAGATTTTTAAGAATGCTTAGGCTAAACTTCAGATCACATCATGTACTGTGAGCACACATGGTCAAAATCCTAATACCACATGGCGCATTTGTTTGGAAAGAAAAAGTAAAGACTGAAATGACAGCAATGATGATGATGAAAATGTGATTGACAGAATGTTTAATTAAGAATCGACATCACAGGACTCGTGACACCCCCATAATGGCTCCGTCTCCATCTTCAGCAACAAATAAAGAGTTGCAATTCCGAGGGCACCAATAACTGTTTGTATATGCATCTCGCCCTTCTCCTGAGTGTTGATCATCTGCCAGATCCCCTCGTAATTCCTCGCAGCACCATTCTCCTCAGACCGTAATGATCTATCTGTGCCTCTGCACTGTTCACTCGCTCCCAAAGGGCCCTCACGATATCTAACTTGTTATACATCAATTCACCACCAAGTCTATCTGCCTGTTCATTTCCCTTCACACCGGCATGACCTGGAGAAAATATCCAAAGGATGCTAACTACCCGGGACCTCTGAAGTGATGCTTGCCACAATATCTGGCTCAATATCTTGACAGAAAAGAAAGAAATGAAAAACAAATAACAAAATGCTGACGATGATGCTAATGATGAAAATTAGTTAAGATAATGATGAATGGGGAAAAAATAACAATGAGAAATATGTCAGCAATGTTTATATGGGACTGACAGTAACTTGATACTGTCGTAGTCGTTATTGATCTCGCTGTATTTCAACATTTCATGCTGCGACTGGATACCAGATAATGATATTTGCATGCGCTAATTATTTCTTGCTTAATAATGGTGAAAGACTGACAGATGTAGGTGATAATGAGATAGATGGTGACAAGAACACGCAAAAAGAAAACAATGCTCAACTGGAAGATTCTTCTTCTTATCTTCTTCTTCTTCTTTTTCTCATTCTTCTTCTGTGTTTGTCATTGAAAGGGTGGTGGACACAGTGTTTTGTGGTTTAGAGTTGCTATATCTGTGGGATGAATTCAAAAGTGGTGAGGACATAAGAGAAATGTCTGGGAAACCACTAGTACCAACAGTTACAAGATGGAGAAGATGGTGCTACACTGAACACATCCTGAGAAGAAACCAGCAGAGAATCACCAAACAGGCACTGAAATGGGAAACAGAGTTACTGTAGGGGGGGCGAGGAAACCCAAAAGAAACCCTAAAGCTAACTGATGAGAGACGCCATGAGTGCTGAACTGGTTTTTATCCATGAAACTCAACTTATCCTTACACTCCAACCGTCAACAATGTCACTACAAAGGTGTACCCCAAGGGCTAGTTATCCTATTCTCACTAATTAGTTACCCATATTAATTCATTTTGGCAGGAAATGTCTGCGGCACACACAAAAAAGGATAAAGACAAAATAACATAATATGATGCAGGATAACTAGATAGAATTAATACAGGTGAATAAGCTTCATTAGTGAGGACTCTCATTTACTACATGAAGAAAGTTACTGACTGTGGCAAGATGTATACAAAATGAAACAGTTACGTCCCTGACCATATGCAACAATAAGAGATACAAACTCATTTACTGTACCTTATAAAGAAAGTATGTATTCATTGTAACTGATTATAAGAGTACAGACTGTTATCTTTCCTATATTTTAACTTATGTTTTTAAATAACTGTTGCCATCTGAGGCTCAGGTTTTGTGAACACTCTTTATAATTCAGAGGTATCCAGTTTGATTCCAATTGCTGGCGCTTTGGCAGCGGACCATCTTGCGTTGGTTTCGACAAGCACATCGACAGCTGACCATTAAGTGTGCGATACAAACTACTAAACATAATATTGCCTGGGCAAACCAAAACGGCCAAAAAATGCTGGAGTTGGTTCCGCAAATAACTTTTAAATAATCACCATCAATTTTCCCTGATACTGTTAAGCGTTGTGGGGAGGAATAGTTTGTGATCCATTGCCTGATGGTCAGCACTGGCTATTGTCATTCCGCATTGATTTAGCTCTTTAATGTCATCAATCCATCTTCTCCTAAGGCAGCCTCTTGCTTTCACTTCAGATCTTTTCATGTGTAGTGCCTGTGTTAACTTTTATACACGTTTTTTGGGGGGGAGGGGGTAATGTTTAAAGTGATCTGGGATATCACTACTGTGTCTGAAGATATACGTCTTAAACACACATATAAAGCCACCATGGTGTAGCAGCTAGATGCTCACCTACAGATCTAAAGGTCCTGGGTTCAAATCTGAATGGTGCTGGACATTATTCAAAAATGACCTTGGCTCCCTGCTCGACCCAGGTTTTAAATGGGTACCAGGTTAAAGTCTTGGGAAGTAAAGGTCGCCGGCATGATGCTGACCACATCATCAACCAAGTATCAATCGGTCGGTAAAATATAGGTCTAGCCCTACATGCCCAATACGCCTGACAGCGTGTAAAAGCGTTCTTTACTTTTTACACACACACATATCCAAGTTTCTTACATAATTGACAACAAAAGTTGAATGAGAGAAAGAAAAAACAAAACAAAGCAAATGGAAAGTAAATGTGTTGAGTAGAAGCAGAAATGATTCCTTCAGATGTGTACAGGCAACGACATTACCAACAAAGTGACAGATTAACATTTTAAAATCACAATAGAAAAGAAGAGTCGCTGTGGTGTAGCAGCTAGATACTCGCCTGTGGATCGGAAGGTCATGAGTTCGCTCCCTAGCGGAGCCGGACTTTTTTTTTTTTTAAATGACCCTGTCTGCCAGGTCGACCCAGTCTTGAGTGGGTACCAGGTGCAATCCTGGAAAGTAAAGGTGTCTAATGTGATGCTGACCACATTACGCACCTTGTGCTGTTAGTCTATAAAATATAAATCTAGCCCTATACACCCAATACGCCTGAAAGGCATGGAAAAGGGTCCTTTAGTTAACACTCTAAAAGGAAGCCAACTATGTCAAGTAGATGTTATGGTGATGCCTTTGGACGTATTCATCCTCAGATATTCCCAAAACATGTTTTAGGTGAACTAATTAAAAGCATCACAGTACAAAAAGAAACGAATGAAGCTGAAATGAAGTGTGAATTATACCTTCAAAAGATGGAATTTTAAGACACTTATAACACAGTGATAGGTGAACAGACGTATGTATAAACATCTCAGCAGAAATGGCAGCCAACTGCGCTGAGCAAATCATTTTCTTCTCTGAGAATACCCACTGTAAACTCAAGCCACTTCTGTGCTTTATTCTTATTCTAGGACTTGAGTTTTGCGTGCACATCTGTTTTACAGGTCTAGCTCATTTGTGTGTAGACTGTTGGTTTCTCACCTCTCAAGCAGACAACTTCTGACTCTGAAGGAAACATCCATAATTAGTCATCTTGGACGACATGCTTGTCAAGGGGGAGGGTGGACGATTCTTTTTTCAGTTGTTTCGTAATATCTTACCCCCCCCCCCCCCCCCCCCCCCCCCCCCCGATGACATCACAGAACAGTCCAACATTTTAGAGGGTGGTAAGACTGGGTTTTCCAGCTTTCTGATGCTTTTAAAGACCCCCAAAACATCTAGAACTGGTCCTAACCCCAACCCACCTACGGCCCACAAGAGAGTGCAGCCTAGGTCCCACGACTGCATACAGCCTAGGTCTCACGACCGCATGCAGTCCATCTACCACCCCCTAATATATTAGACTATCCCATGACTTGTGGATTTTCCCTGATTGGGGTAGGATATTAAGAAAACATTCTTTTTTTCTCCCCAAAATGGGGCCCCAGAATCCGCAAGGGTTTCGGCAGATATGCTGAACAGATGCAGAAACGGCACCTTCAGAAGTATGCATGTTTAGACATTCACAACACAGTGAATCAGATCTGTAAAACTGATGCACACGCAACACTCAGGTTCTGGAGCAGGACTGCAGTCCAGGAGTGGACGAACAACCAGAACTTTCCGCCAGAGTCTACAGCTGGTGAACGCGAAGAAGAAGAAGAAGACAACACAGTGATAGAAGAACAGAAGTACAGCATTCCCCAAGTATAAGAAACACTTATTTTCCATAAATGTAATGTATAAAAACAGTGTGCATATTTTACAATGGAAGCATATTATTATTTTGTTTCTTCAAAATTTCTGGTCCCAAAATCAAGGTAAATATTATATACTGGAGCATCTTGGGAAATATGGGTATGTGTAAACATCACAGTATAAATGGATGCCAAATGGGGTGAAAAGATCTAGAAGTGATACCTTTAAAAGTATGGATCCTAAGATATCATTGGCTACAAAAGTTGGCTTGCTGGATGACACCTGGCTCTGCTGGACTGCATCTGATGACTGACTGTTGGAACCATTTTCTGTCAGATGAAGAAGATGTGAACATATAAATTCTGTATTTTAGAAACGAAACAATTATATTACAGGTTGTTTTTTAACTAGTCTAGAATGGAAAGAAATACTTCCAGAGAGAACTGATCGCCAATATCAGAAGGAGAAAATCTACATTCTTTGGTCATGTCATGAGAAGAAGAAAACTGGAGTACATCGTGATGGTGGGAAAGCTGGAGGGGAAAAGAGGCAGAGGGAAAGCTGGAGGGGAAAAGAGGCAGAGGGAAAGCTGGAGGGGAAAAGAGGCAGAGGGAAAGCTGGAGGGGAAAAGAGGCAAAAGGGAAAGCTGGAGGGGAAAAGAGGCAGAGGGAAAGCTGGAGGGGAAAAGAGGCAGAGGGAAAGCTGGAGGGGAAAAGAGGCAGAGGGAAAGCTGGAGGGGAAAAGAGGCAGAGGGAAAGCTGGAGGGGGAAATGGCAGAGGGAGACAGAGAGAGAAGATGCTGGACAATTTGATATCATGGCATGGAAGATCACCTTTGTCAGAACTGACTGAAAGAACACCAGACAGAAGGTTGTGGATAGACATGACTACCAACACCATATGGCAGAGACTATGGAAGATCACCTGTGTCAGAACTGACTGAAAGTACACCAGACAGAAGGTTGTGGATAGACATGACTACCAACACCATATGGCAGAGACTATGGAAGATCACCTGTGTCAGAACTGACTGAAAGTACACCAGACAGAAGGTTGTGGATAGACATGACTACCAACACCATATGGCAGAGACTATGGAAGATCTCCTGTGTCAGAACTGACTGAAAGTACACCAGACAGAAGGTTGTGGATAGACATGACTACCAACACCATATGGCAGAGACTATGGAAGATCACCTGTGTCAGAACTGACTGAAAGAACACCAGACAGAAGGTTGTGGATAGACATGACTACCAACACCATATGGCAGAGACTATGGAAGATCACCTGTGTCAGAACTGACTGAAAGTACACCAGACAGAAGGTTGTGGATAGACATGACTACCAACACCATATGGCAGAGACTATGGAAGATCTCCTGTGTCAGAACTGACTGAAAGTACACCAGACAGAAGGTTGTGGATAGACATGACTGCCAAAGCCACAGACTTTAAGAAGAAGTGTGGAGAAAAATCATTTACCTAAACCAACACAACAAGCCTTTTACAGACCTGTTCACTGAAGGAACATGTTGGTGTTTTTAGACCATGGTGTTATAATTATGCTATCTTTATAGAGGCCATAGAGGGTGTGCCTAGCTCAATGGTTCTCAACCTTCCTAATGCCGCGACCCTTTAATACAGTAAGTTCTTTATGCTGCGGCGACCCCAAGCCAAATTTTTTCGTTGCTACTTTATAACTTTAATGAATATGTGTTTTGCGATTGTCTTTGGTGACCCCCGTGAAAGAGTTGTTTGACCCCCCCCCCCCCCCAACCAACTCAAAAATAGGGCGTGACCCACAGGTTGAGAACCGCTGGTCTAGCAAGACCTGCTCCACTAGGTAAAGTCTTCCCCACTAAAAGCATGAGATTTCAGACCAATTTGGTCATAGCACTTATCTAATGAGCGTCTTCTCAGAAATTCAGAAAAGTGCTTATAAGACAGCTAAATTGATGACATAAATTAATGATGAACAATATTTATCAAATTCAATAACTACCCGTGTGGGTTCCGGGGCTCTATTATAGGGAAAACAAGAATAGACCCCCTGCATACCCAAAAGAATGTTGTAAGAGTCGACTAATTGGGAGCTTCTTTCAAAGTCGGAGTGCATCTGCCTGAGAGGCAAGGAACCAGCAGTCTGCATGCCAATGAGTCAGATCTGTAAAACGGATGCACACGCAACACTCAGGTTCTGGAAAAGGACTGTAGTCCAGAAGTAGACGAACAACCAGAACTTTCCGCCAGAGTTCACAGCTGGTGAAGGCAAAGAAGAAGAAGAAGAAATTCAATAACATTTTCTTCTGCCATCAGCCACACAGCCAGACATCGGTCTTCACGTATTCATTCTCTGACTCTGGCAATAAGCTTATCATTACAAACAGAATCTGGACATCCCAGCCAGCTTCGTCTTCATTCAGTTTGGTATTGTGGCTTTTAACTTCTTCTTCTTTCGTTCGCCTGAAAAAGATTATATCTGCAATGCTGTCTCTAGTTTGAACTTCACTGTCTTTTGTCATTCACTCAGTGACCCGTAAAGTTTGGCTTGCACCGGTGTTTCTCTTGGCCAAAAGTTTTGCCTTGATATGTTGTATTTGGGACAGTCTTGGAGGACGTGATCAGTTGTCTCTGGTGCCAATCCACATGTGCACATGGCTGATTCACCAATTTTAAATTGTGTGTACATGTGGCTGCGAAGTCGACTGTGTCCTGTTCTAAGGCGTAGAATAATAACTTGCTCTGGTCTGTCCATAAAATGGCATTTAACTGTTCTATATAGCAAAAACACTGATAAGAGCTATAAACAAAGAGACTTGGTTGAACAGATGGGCCATGGGAGACACTGGAAGAGAGGCTTATAGACATATGTCTGGCCCTGATCCTAATGACAGCATTAACCATCTAACAAGAAGGGACCAGGCCACCATCTTCAGACTCAGAACGCAACATACTCCACTCAATGGACACCTAAACAGAATACAGCCACAACATTCCCCAGAGTGCCAGCTATGTAACTATCCCTACGAAACTGTTGAACACCATCTCTTTGAGTGCCCAAAACTCAGTGAGACAAGAAGAACGCTACTCCCTCCGAGACCAGACAAGTGGAACACCTTGTACGGAGGAAAAGAACAGCTTGTGAAAACATGCAAATTCCACTACATGGCATTGGGCCAAAGGGCGAAAGCTCATGCGCCGCTGGATCGATAACAACAACAACAACAACTGTTCTATATCGTCTTCAAATAAATTACTGAAATCATCAGATGTTATATTGGGAGCCGCCATGGTCTATCAGGTCTTGGGTTCGGGTCCTGTCAGGGGTCCTGATGTTTTTTCTAAAACGAACTTGGCTCCCAGGTAGACCCAGCCTTCAGGGGTCCTGATATTTTTTCAAAAACGTACTTGGCTCCCAGGTAGACCCAGCCTTCAGGGGTCCTGATATTTTTTTCCAAAACGAACTTGGCTTCCAGGTAGACCCAGCCTTCAGGGGTCCTGATATTTTTTCTAAAACGAACTTGGCTCCCAGGTAGACCCAGCCTTCAGGGGTCCTGATATTTTTTCTAAAACGAACTTGGCTCCCAGGTAGACCCAGCCTTCAGGGGTCCTGATATTTTTTCCAAAACAAACTTGGCTCCAAAGTAGACCCAGCCTTCAGGGGTCCTGATATTTTTTATAAAAAGAACTTGGCTCCCAGGTAGACCCAGCCTTCAGGGGTCCTGATATTTTTTTCAAAACAAACTTGGCTTCCAGGTAGACCCAGCCTTCAGGGGTCCTGATATTTTTTCTAAAACGAACTTGGCTCATAGGTAGACCCAGCCTTCAGTGGTCCTGATATTTTTTCCAAAATGAACTTGGCTCCCAGGTAGACCCAGCCTTCAGGGGTCCTGATATTTTTTCTAAAACGAACTTGGCTCTCAGGTAGACCCAGCCTTCAGTGGGTACCATGTACAGTCCTGGAAACTAAAGGTGGCTGGCGTGATGTTGACCCCATTACCTACCAAGTGCCGTTTGGTCTATAATATATAGGTCTAGCCCTATGTACCCAATACCCCTGATGGGGTGGGAAAAGGTCCTTTACAATCAGAAGTTATATTATATGTCAGCAAACTCGGTGAGGTACCTTCGTTTGTCAAAGTATTAACTGCCTTCCATTTATCTTTGCTGGTATTTTTTTGTAAAAAATTTTTCTTTTGTATATCTACTATTAATTTTATTAAGATTACAGTTTACTGTATTTAGAAATGTGCACATTGAATATTGTGATGCTACTGATAATGTTTACTTTTACTTGATGTATAAATGGAATGATTTTTGAAAGGAGGGAGACTAGAAGGGCAGAATGTTAGATGGGCCTGCGTGCCCAATTCCTAACCATTTGAATATAAAGTTTGTTTATTTATTCGTTCTTTACCACACTAATTCTGATTGTGAAAACCACCTCGTGCACAAGATAAACAGTCATCCTCCTAAGTGTATTTCGTCAATTCAACAGTTTCAAGAGCACTTTTTTCAAGTCTGGAATAGAAATAATGCCTTGGCCCCATGCTGCATGTGTAACTCTGAAAGTCTGACTAGCTAAACAACATGGCGGGTTACTTGTAATCTGCTGACGGGGCGATTTATAATAGTGTCAGACTTACAGATTAATGGTGGCTGTTTAAATGATGAATGAATGAATGAATGAATGAATGAATGAATGAATGAATGAATGAGATTCAACCCCACCAGGACATTCACCAAGCAATAAACACCCGGTGACACAAAGTGTCACCATGCGGATGAGGACCACCAACTACAGCCGGAGTGGAGCTTTAAAATAAAGAAAAAAATGCGTTCCACATTGGAATGACAGTTTTATACAATGTATTATAACTGTTTAATCAAATGGCATGCTTTGCTTAATAAGGGCTAGCGTTTTTGTTTTAGCCACATACAATCAGTATCGTTATTTAATATTTACTTCTTCTACTCTTATTAACTCTCTTTTTAGTTCCAATCAATGCCTTTAAATTTGAACAAAGACACAAGCAATTTATTGTTCTGTGTCTGCGCTGTTGGATTGGCTTTTTACCCCACCAGGACATCACACAAGCGATAAACACCCGATGACACAAAGTGCCACCATGCGGATGAGGATCACCGTGGAGAGGTCACGGAAACCGCGTTCAGACATTTGGCCATAATGATGACCTGCCTATATTGCGGCCCCTGGCAAAAGCCAGAGTGGGGCTTCAAATAACAAAAAATAACGTCCTAATCGGGTTTCTTCTTTTTTATAGGCCATGCTGAGTGGCGTTGGTAGGCATGTCTATTCATAACTTTC